ATGACATTTGTATATGTGCATCCATTCTAATTTTTTTTGTCAGAGTGAAAGGCTTGTATGAGCTAGTTCAGACTGCATGTGGAAGAGAGGTGGGCTTGCTACTGATGTTGGGAACATGGCTGAAAGATCTGGCTAAAAAAAATTCTATGGGAAGTGGAAAAAACCCCACCCCACTTGTCCTTAAAACTGTGTAGTTGGTCAGCGAGCTGAGCTGACAGCAGTAGGAAACAGATTCAGCTGAGTCTGAACAGCTCTGTTACCCAGCTTTCATATTGCTCTAAAAGTTAATTTTAAATAAAGGGAAATTCCCTGTTTGTTTAATTTCAGAAGCTCTAAGGTAGCCGACATCTTAATTGGACAAGGCTCCGGGTTTCTGTGAGAAAGTTTGGGATATGTAAGAACTGGGGTTACAACAGGAGAGATGTGAGAGAAGCAGGGGGGAAGCTAATCAAAACACCCCCAGATAATGTGGATTTTTGCCTCAGTGAAGTTTAGCAAAGATTCTGCTAAAGAAAATTATGTAGAGAATTTCCTATCAAAGAATTTTTAAAAGAAAAATCTCTTAAAGGCCTTTTTAAAATTTTGGTTCTAATTAACTTATAAACTAAATTAAATTATTCAATTTTAAATAGCCTTTAGCTAGTCCTTCTTTCAGTTCTCTTTTATTTTGGATTTGTTGCTAATTCTGCACAGTGAGGAATTAGTATTTGTAAAATGTTTGGCTAGGCTAGGATTTGAAGTAGTTTGTTCTCACATTTGAATATTTATTCTTTTATAAATCTGTGTTGAATGATTTCATATTTTCAATCTTGTTAGTAAAAAAGTCTGAAATATAGTAAAAGTAGATTATGTAGCAAAAAGTTTGCATTTTAAAACATGATCTCTTTAAAGAAGAAAATTATCTAAATATGATCTACTTGTAAAATTCATGAATAATCAATAGAGTTTCAAGCTGTGGAAGGACCCAGCTCTTAGTCCACATTTATAATAGTTTAATTGGAAATGCAAATGGATAACAGAGTTATAAAAACCCAGATTTTTTGGAAATAGATTTTAATTCTGCTGAAGAAAAGCAGTGCACAAATAGGTAGTGATTGTAATGAAAGAAAAAAAAAAACAGGTCTTTTAAAAACACAATCCTTAGAAGCAAGGCTTGAGCAAAAGCTATACAGAAATACAGCGATGCAGTTGTCAGATTGGGCAATCATAATTAGCCATACTTAAACCTGCCTACGCAAGGCTGGGTTATGGTGCTGGGCTGTGCGCTTCGGTGGTCCGGGGTGCATCGCAAGTTCTGATCAGCTGCTTTTGTAAAGGGGGGGGGGGGGGGGCGGCAAATTTCTCTCTTTGGATGCTGTTCCTTAACCCGCTTCTGAACATAGGTTAAACTTTGAAAGATGTCACTTCAAGACAGGGAACGAAATGCGCTCTAATGTGGAAGGCCCAGGAATGAGGCACAGCCATCTTTTTGATACAAACCTGCTGCAGTTTGGTAGTATTGTCCACATGCAGGTTGGAGTTAAAGCCCACCGGGATCCGGGAGACTGTTCCGTGAAATGGGATGTTTTAGAGACTTTTCCAGTAAGCCTCTAAAATGATCCACTAAGCGTGTGCAAATACCAATTTTCAAAGACTTAAAGTGTAGCCAAAGCAGAATAAAAGACAAATCCGTCTTGCCAGGTTTCAGGTTTTCACTCGGGAGCTTGGAATCACACTAACGTTCTTCAAACAAACAGTCAAGAGAAAATTAAAACATCTTCTTACCAAGTAATCTGTTTCCTCTCAAAATTCATCTTTTGATCAATTTAGCATTTTACTTCATTACCCTAAAAAGTAGTCTGAGACAATGCAAGCGGGGGAAGACTAAAGCTCAAACAGTTACTTGCCTGGCAGAGAAACAAAAAATGGAAAATGAAGTTGTATGATATAGTTTTTAAGCAGGTCTAACAATAGGCTTTATTCTGTCTAAATTGAAACACTGCATTTACTAGAAAACAGTCTTTAATAAATAACTGCATAAACTTAGAAGTATTAATTGGTCCTTTGGAGATCACTCTTTTTTACTTTTTTCAGTGCAGGAAAACACATACTGAACCCAAACCTGCTTCTGATTAAGTCAGTGAAAGCAGGACTCTGATAAACATTTAGTTTGACAAAATGAATTCAAGATGTTGGAATTATTTCATCCATTTTATTAAGCATTTTTCCTGAATCTTCCATTGACTGAAACTGTAAGATTTTAGTAGGTCTGTTACATCTTTCTGAGAATTTTTTAGGCTAAAGGTACACTAAACACATCCAGAAAGGTGAATTGAATGACATCTGTTACACAGAGGGTAACGTACACTTCAATAAATAAATCACATAGGGATATATTAAAATAATCCCCTTACTTGTTAACACAGGAAAGAGCACCCAGGATAAGTATAATGTATACACATGGTTTTGTGAAACTTTTTATTGGTTTGGATATCCTTTTTATCCTTAATAGACTACCAATAAATGCAAGATGTCTTTTACTCATGCAGAGAAAATGTCTATTTGTAAATGCACTACTTTTAAAATAGTATTAGTTGATTAACTTGCCGTGTCTGTGGACTGGGGATGCCATTTACTGTGGAAAACAAATATAAGCTGAATAAAATACTTTTCTGCACAAAAGTCTTGGTATGAAGGTATGGAACAAAAACTATTCCTTTTACAAAGTTTGATTGTTTATGTTCTTTGCCAGACAAATGAAAATCAGTGGACTTAGTTGTCTGATTAAGAAAATCTGATTCGATTAAGATAATCTGATTTCATTTGAGTATGAAAAGTGCTTAAGATGGATACTTCTTAAACACACTAGCTAGGTAAATCAGTGACTTTTCTTATGAAATATTGCTGAAGCATTTGCATCTGTGGCCATGATATGTGCCTGTCTGAAAAGAAATTATTGTCATTTTCATGCTAAACAAGAAAAAAAGCACATGTGAACTTTCTAAGCTAGAACTGCCCATTAGGTATCTGTGGGCTGATCGTACTTGAACAGGAAATCATGACACTTAAACTGCTAAGTGAACACGTGGGGAGTATTACACTGTATATGCAATGAAACACACATTGTTTATTTTGTGTAGCATTCTCCTGCTCCCTTAAATACATACAAGATGGAAACTCACAGACTTTTTTTAACCTTTAGCTGCTATCCTTGTACAAAAACTACTAAACAAAAACTGACGGACTAGTAAACCACTTGAGTTCATTTTATTTCATCTAACACTGATCACATTTCCAGTAGACAATAAATATAATGCACTGCTGACAGATGTGTAGAAATGCATATACAATTAGATGAAGAAATTGGGGTCAAGGCAGTTCAAATCTCAGTTTATGCCTTTGCATTTCCTTGAATATGGCTATAAAATTCTTACCTGCTGATGCATGGCCTCCTGCAATATCAGTTTTCCCCTGCTCATCCAGACTGCTGCTGGGGAGGCTGCCCTGTCCGTGGAGTATCAGTGCATCTCAGGCTTGATTTGAGCGTTTACTGGAATACATAAGATTCTTTGCTTTGTGTGCCTTTGGGTAAGGCCTTGGTGCATTTTCCCAGTTGAGATATAGTATTTCCTACATTTCCTGGAACATATTCAAGACATGAAAGCTCTGAATCTGTGTCTTGGGTTAAATGAATGCAATGAGAGGCAAGCTAAAGCATCCAGATCAATGGAACTAGGAGCTCAAAATGGGAGACATTTTAATTCTGTGGGGTTCTTTTCTTTTCCTTATCTTGGAGTAAAAAACCAGATTCAGACAGCAGACCCATATTTGATGGAAAGATGGTGGGATTTTGTTTGGTTTTTTTCCCTGAGCAGGATATGTGGCGAACAGAAGATAGGCAATTTCAAAGTGAAACTTGCAATAAATACTTAAGATGCTGGTTGTTAACTTAATGATTTGCCACTGATTTTCCTGGTCAGAATATGAATATACAGCAGCAGTTATTCTTACTGAACTATCCCAACTGTTCATCTCTTTCCTAGCCATTTCAGTCTTCTACAATGTAATTGAGCTTTTACAGCTCTGTAAGACAATCATTCTGTTGGCCTTTGTAGTATGCATATGCTAAATGGTTCTCCTGTTGCAGATGAGCTGGCAACTTTGCTTATATATAGCAAAAATGTTTCTTTGGGGAAAAAATCTGTGTAATTAATTTATAAATGAAGCAAGGAATAGACAAGCACACACCGCAAATTGGATTGCAATTACCGGTCTAACAAGAAATGCTCCTTGTCTGGTTTGTCTGAGAAAGGCAGATCTGTTGTCACTGAATGAAAGCCGTCCACAGGCCCCCAGTATAACTGTGATGCTGAAATCCATTGCAGTCTAAATCCACTTGAAATTTTGCAAGTTTCCTAGAAATTACTTAGAAGGAAAAAAAATCAAGTGAGCTAGTAAGAATATATGCATTTGTAAGAGTGAAGAATATTGCAGATGTACCTGAAAGTTCTGTTCATTCACCTGTATGGTCTGTTGCTATGATTTAGTGTGGATGCAGTGACTGCTGGTGGTTGGAATACAGATAATGGGAGGCAGAAGTTCTTATTCTGGCCTTTTGTGTAGTAACTGACATTTCACTTAATTTCTGTTTTCTTCTAAGAAATACCTATATATGTGCATTTATCCATTTATCCCTCCATCTGTCCATCCATATATATGCACTCCCTCATGCATATCTTTTACAAGCTCTTTGAGCAGGTTTGTAAGCCTGTGTCATTTACTCCATAATACCTAAAGGAAAAGTGAAAAATACTGGCATTGTTGCTGTTCACATCAAATTACTAGCTACTTTCCTAGGTTTGGTAAAAAGCAAAGACGGCCTTAAAGGAACCTGTGTTGATTTGTTCATCTGGCTGCATTACAAACTCTCCTTGTAAAAAAAGTTGTTTTAGAAAAAGCAGATTATTATAGATAGTATCACAATGCATTTAAATACTGTCACCTTCTTCTTTAACAGGTCTATGGAAATGCAAGATCTAGCCAGTCCTCATAATCTTGTTGGAAGTAGTGATGCGCCGGGTAGTTCCAAACTGGATAAACCTAATCTCAGTAGCACATCGGTTACAACAAATGGAACAGGAGGTAGGTATAAGACACTGCTGGCACATAGAAAGTTTTGTCTAGTTTCTAGTCATATGCATTTTTAACATAATTTCAAGGATGAGCATAAACCCATTTATAAACCCAGCAAGAATTATGAAAAAATGCCAGTCATACCAGTGTAAATCTACTAATTCCAACAGCATTTCTTCGATTTGCACCAACTGAAGTAAGAGGCAGAACTGTGCAAAGGTGAAACAAGGAAAATCTTGGAATGATTGATTTGAACAAAGTGTTAAAGATTTGGTTATACCTGTTGGTAACTTGAAATAGATTGCATTTTCCGTGTTGCACTTCATTGCTGAGTAATAATTTACTTTTATACCATGAGCTACACCCATTTAGGTTCATTTCAAAGCTTTGTCAAAAGAAATGCATCAAAACTAGGCTTATGTAATTTTTTTACTTGATGAATATGCTAATTCCACTTCTTGGCAGGTAGTGAAAGTTTGTCATAAAGAGAGTTTTAGATTTTCCTCAAAAGCAACTGTTTATTACTGCTCTATCCCTATTACTGTAGGGACAGCACTACCATGCAGCTACAACACAGACGTTCTAATGCTTTCAGATAATAGATTCTGCCATAGCTGTATTGGAGCAGTGGGAGGCAGGGTACCACATTCTGAGATGGAGTCTTGTTCCCATTAGTGTCCATGAGACTGACACCGTGGATACAAGTCAAGCTAGAGTTTCAGCCCTCTTTTTTGGAGTTTATACATTGCTGTCTTTTTTAACAGTTGGCACCAAGAAAAAAAATGTAGTTTGTTCTTTCTGGCCACAATGTAAAGCATTTTAGTCACTTATCCCTATTTAAAAAAAAAAATCTGTCAATGTCAATAAAAAGTGTATGTGCCTGTGAGGGTAACAGAGCTCTGCAGAGAAGGGCTGAACCATTAAGGTTCAACCTATTTATATTTTTACATAGAATACTTATTCCAGCGAAAAGAGAAGGGAAAACTTCAAGCATATCATTAAAGAAGACTAATAACTAGATGCCTCTGTATTATACTTGCATAAACAAATAAGTTAAAGTAATACTTATAAAAACAATACAATGCCGGTAAAAGACTTGGCTCGAATACTTGCCTTGAAGACTATTATGTACACTGAACAGACATTGGGAGAATGAACCGTTATACCATTCCTGTTCTCAGGAGACAACATGACTGTGTTAAACACTGCAGACTGGTTGCTGAGTTGCAGTACTCCCTCTTCTGCAACAAGTATGAGAGACCTTGGTACAGTGCATGTGTGTGGTGGTGTGCCTCCGTGACTGCTGTGTAACATCTCTCTTGGTTTGCTCTGTTCTTGTGTTATGCTGTTTGAACATTTTCTGGTTTTTTTTTCCCCACCCCTCTTTTTCCACCCCTTTTCAGATGCCTTTCCCACAGCCAGAAAACTGGTAGAAAGTTGCAATAAATAGTTATCTTACCACACTTTGCGAGTCATTTGATAAGCAAGGAGAATTTAACCCACTTAAAATTAGCTTCACTGTCTACATGCTCTGAGAGACTGGGATTGCCCCGTGGTGGTCAACACTGCTGGGAACTGCCAGTGGTCAGCATTGCTGGAAGTCAGACCAATGGATTTTCCACAGAGTGCCCATTTGTTTTTCTTTTATTTTTAGGTACAACATTGCATGATTACCTGAGCACAAATCAAGGTTGACATTATTACTACTCCTACTACTGCTTTCCTACTACTGCTTTTGTTATTAATTAAAGCTTATGTCTAGCGTGCTACTACATGTAACTTGCCACCTTACAAACATTTGGCCAAATTTTCCAAGCTGTTGTTTTCATTTATGAGTTTTCTCTCATGTATTATTAATTGTTATGAGTTATAATGATTAATAATAATTATATATGTGACACTTGCATTACATATGGAATTAATCGTAGGTGTAAACATGTGTCACCATGACTCTCTACAAGCCATTACACAGGTGCTTAAGCTGTACAGGTTTGGACTAAAGTTAGGAAGATCTCAAAAACCCCTCAGAATTAGCTTGCCATTTGTAAGCCGCATATCCAGAGAGTATTTACCAAAAAAAAAAAAAGTTCAGACTTGAGCACAAAAGATCATTTGCTCTAGAATAACTGATTCCATGGGAATGCTTCTGCTCAATTACAAGAATTTAAGTTTAAAGGAAGGACTGAGCTAACTTAGTCTGTCACCTCAGTTAACTGTTCAGCATGTTCAGATAAATGTGGAAAGTAATAATTTCAGTAGTAATTATCAGTAGTGAGGAAACGTAATGTGAAAGACCTTGCATTACTTGCATTAAATCTGATTTTCCATAGGCAGTAGAACGTTTATATCTGTGCATCTAGTTGAGTATATTCCTTGGAAAACCCTTAAGGCTTGCTAAAAGAAAGAGGAAAATCATTCCTATGACAAGCCAATGTTTTACATGAGCTTTTAGTCAGACTTGTTTGCTCTAATAGTTATTGCACTTGCTTGTCCTGCTTCATGCACAGTAGTAGCATATCTTGCCCCTAAAACTCCGTGTTCATTTTCAGACCTTAACATAGAGAGGTTATTTAGGAAAAAAAGAGGTTGCAGAGTAGTAGTCATGTTGCTCTGCTAAGTCCTTTCATCAAATAAAGAACTTATATTATAGAAGCTGTGGCCTGTTGGGAGCTGTATTCTGAGTTCGTCTTAGAATAATGCCGTTTGGAAGGGATCCCTGGAGGTCAGCTGGGCCAACCCCTGCTCAGAGCAGGGCCAACTTTGCCGTTAGATCATGTTGCTCAAAGCAGTGTCTAGTTGAGTGTTGAGTATCTCTGAGCTGGAGGTGCCACAGCCTCTCTGGGCACCTGTCCCAGAGCCTGACTATTCTCACGGTGAAGAATTTTCCTCTTACATCTAATTGGATTTTTTCCTTGCTGCAGCTTGTGTCTGTTGCCTCCTGTCATTTCACAGGGCGGCTTTTGAGAAGAGTCTGCCGTTGTCCTTTGTCATCTTTGCACCTTCCCATTAGATAGCTGCAGGCAGCAATTAGCTCTCCCCTCAGCCTTCTCTTCCTAGGACAGAACAAGCCTAGCTTCTTCTGTCTGTCCTTGGACATCATACGCCCCAGCCCGTGACAATTGTGGTAGGTCTAGTCTGTGAGCATGTGCAGCCTTCACTGTTAGCCACACTCAGATGTATTTCCAGCTTGAGATTGCTTTTCATTTTGTTTTTACTCTTTCAATATGAGAAAAAAAATTAAAACTAATCCACAGTTTAAAAAACAGAATATTAAATGTATAGTCTTTAAAGTATTTATCCAAAATGCTGGTTCAAACCCCTAAGTCTTTGCATTATGTCTAGAGCAGTTGCCATAGTAGTATCAGAGCCAGGCTTTATCTTGCATGTGGAAACACAGGGATGATTCTGTGCTTTTATTTTCATTTCAGCGTTAAATGTTCCTGGGTTTCTGATCTGTTGTTAGAATTATTTTATTTTTTTTCATTTAACTCTGTGCTTTTTCCCCTCTTGGTTTAATGACATGCAACAGAAAGAAAGAAAGATAATAGTCCAACTCTAGCTACACTGAGGAAAGACCTTGATGAATTCCTTACTGTGATAACATCTGAATGTAAAAAAGTAGAACTGTTTAAAATCAAGCACATATAAAAATACTTTCTACATATATTTTTCAACAAAACACAGTGCCAATATGGTGTTTTTCCTCAAGTTAAGTACATGAGAGAGTTTCTTTTGGTTTAGATTCTTTTCTGCTTGACAGGGAGAGAGAAAGATGGTGACTATTGGTGGTGATGGAAGTGCACTGCAGCTGGCATTAACCAGAACTAGACATGACTCTAAAGTAAACATTTCAAATCATTACTGAAGTTTGTGTTAAATAAAACAGTTAGGCACATACTGGAGTGTCTGTCTGGATGCAATACTGAACACAGTTTCGTAGCTCGGTATGGGCAATAGTCAAATACCTTCTTGAACAGAAAGAGATAAAGGTACTAAAAAGTAGTTTTTTCATGTAGGTAAATGTCCACACTCTGCAGAGAAGAGCTATGCATCTTATAAAGTAAAATATGACCAAAGGAAGATCTGCAGAGGGGAAAATACAGATCTTTCCAACTTAGTATGATTTTTCATTCTCCTACTGAAATAAATGCAGACATCTCTATATTGTAATCAGAAAACAAATTAATTTAGTTACTTTTCACGCTTCAGGGAACAATAAATGTTCCACATGACTGAGAGGCCTGAGGTTCAGTGGAGGCAATCATTTTGTGACAAATGACCCTTAAGCTTTTTCTTGATGTATATTTTATTGATCTGATGAGAATAAGTTCACATCTTTCTCATCTAAATAGAGAAGTGGGAATGATTGATTACTCTTCCGAATGACTTTGTTCATTTTGTGTAGTTTTTGTCACACCTTTTTTTTTTAAATGAGAAGATAATAGCCAACAAAATGACAAGGAGTGCACAGCAGCTTGAAAAAAATGTGGCTAAAATTCTTCCCTGATGATTTCATATTGAATTAATATCCTGCTGCTTGCAGGGAGAATATATGGGTGTGGCATTTTTACTAAAGAGAAATTATAATGAAAAGAAGTTTACATTTAAAAGATGCACATTCAAATACTTTTTAATCTCGCACAGTAAAGGGAAAGATACAACTGTATAACTTGCGTAAGAAGGTGCTACTTGGTTTGATTAGCACTGGGGCACTGGCGACACTGCAAGGCACTCTCCCTGGCACAGAGACAAATACATCCCCATTTCTCAAATGCTGCCTACTTGATCTAAACAGACATCCCTTTGAATTCAGTGTAGGCCACCTGTGCAATTGTACACATTTGCAGCATCCCATCTGACTTACTGAAGTCAGACCCATTAAGCAGTGTGTCTGGAATTCGGGTGTGCTGTTGTAGGAGAGGTAACTCACGCAGGGGCCGTCCCAGGTGGCCGTATTGGTAGCTGTGAAATTCCCGGAGAGCTCCTGGTGGTGCTCACAGACACAGGGAGGAATAGCAGAGTGGTTCTGTAGGTGTTGTTTGGGACATTTTTCCCATGAAAAAACCCAAATCCTTTATTTAGCTCATCCACCACCTTTTCCCCTACAGACTGTAAGAGGGATGGTGAACTCGAGGGCAGCTCAGGCTGTACTCGGACTGAATCGCCCTCTGAAGTACCTCTCTTTCTCGACTGAACATAAACGGAGATTACTATGCACCTTTTTTATGCCTAAGTTAGGTGACTTGAATCTGAGCCATAGTTTGTAAATACATTGCCAGCTCAGAACATGAAATGCCCTCCTCCCCTTACTATTGCCAGTGAAGTCAAACGTGGATGCAGTGATGTTGACAGACGAGAGCTTTGGTCAGCTTAGCTGGTGTCCCTCAGAGGAGTCAGGTAACTAGCTGGCAGAGACTGCGTTTGCTTGGCATATGTTAGACCTGCTGGGGGGGACCCTGCCAGCCTGGCTGTCACAGCGAAGGTTTCTCCACAAATCCCAGCTGTGTCCTTGGAACTTCAATACCTGGCGTACGACTGCGGTAGTGGCCCGTGCAGGTCCTCATTGCCACTGCGCTTCACGCCCCCGGGCAGCGACCAGTCCTGTGGTATCTATAAGCAAATTGCTGATATATACGTGATAAACGCTCACTCGCACCTCTAACTGACCTTCACAAAGGAATTATGATAACATGTTGAGGGTTTCCACGTTTGCCAGTCAAACATCTCATAAAAGCTGCAGTGTATTCTGCACCGCTGTTTCTTACCACGTCAATTAGAAGGGTAGTTCCCAAACTCCATTACAAAAGTCCACACCAGGTGGTCTGTTCAGGTAACACATTAAATTGTAAAATCCAGATTACCTCTGTGGTGCTTTCAGTTATAGCTTGGATGGTAAGAGCACATGATGATCCCTAAGAAATAATCTGAGTTCAGAGTGGACCCAAATGTTTGGTAATCTCTGAGTTAGAAGCTGACTTGTCGTGGCTGTCATTTGTGTCCTACCCTAGTTCTTTTGCTATTTTTTCTTTTAAACTTCCCTCTTCATGTATGGAAAATTGCTTGCTGGTGACCTAGATCAAAAAGCCCCCCACAGACTCTGTAAAAGGGGAAGGGGAAAGGCAGAATGCTGACACTGTGAAAGTAATTTGCTTCTATATGAGCATGAAACCATATTATTATTGTTTCACTTGTCAGGCAAAACTATTTTTGTTATGTGCTACATCCCTTGACAGCTAATGTTTCCTTCCTCTCTGCTTCTCTTAGGGAATTGTTAGAATCAATTAGATTTAGGTTGAAGTCTCCCCAGAAGATATCCCAGTTGCTAAAACCAATAGATAGACAAATGCACAGATAAAAAGCTATGTAGATACATGACCATTCCAGACAGAGCAAGTACAGATTGTCTCAATACAGTGGTAGAGTGAAGGTCGAAGCTGTTGCATCGCATGCTTGTTCTAGCTGGACTACCAGTAGTGAGACTGGCATGAGGACTCCAATATAAATTTAGAAGTAAAATCTCATGTCTACTTATTCTTCTATGTAGTGTCTCTTCTTGCAGTCAAAACAGAACCCATGAACAGCAGTGAAACAACAACTACAACTGGAGATGGATCGCTTGACACTTTTACTGGGTCAGGTAAAGCCATAATAAGATCACGTATTGTTAGATGCACATTAATATAGCATTTAATAACCTTGACTAATAAACATTTCACTGCATGGAAACAATCTTTAAAAAACTACAATAAAGTAACATTTTAATACATCATCATCATCATAATAATAATAATAGCTTTTTCATTTTTGTAAATGAAAATTCACAGTTTTCATGAGCTATGATCTTAAAGAAGCTTTAATGATGCCTAAGACGATTACTGTATGCAAAAATCTTATAGTAATAATGTTGCTACTGTACTGTAGATTTTTTCAGTGTTAGTCTTGTACTATCTTAGGCAGAAAAAAATGGATTGTATTTGTAACAGCCATTCTAATTTGTGAAATTTAAAATCTTAAGGGTTATATTTCAGTGCTAATCTTTTTATTCCTATGAGCAGTGTGTTAGTTTAAACACTGACCAAATTGCCATAAGCTACTGTCTTTCCATGAAAATAAAGTCTATATTTTACTTTAAACAATCATAAGTTTCAGTTACTTCTTCTTAAAAAATTCAAACAAACAGCAATTTTTAAGTAGATTCCTATAAATTATTAAAAGGTGAACTGTGGAAAAGTACAGATAATATGCCTTGTAATCATTAAACTGAATCCTGCTAATAGTAAGATTAACAAGGAGAGCGGGAAGAATAAATTTTGCATCTGAAAATACCAGTTCAGTGATGGTCTGACTGAAATGCCACTGAAGCCTGGAATTGCCAATCCACACTGATACTACTATTACTTTAGTAGACTTAGGTCATCAAGCCCTATTTAAAATATTTTGGAAATCACAATGTTTCTCTGTAATGAAAATGTTTTAAAAATTGAGTGTATGTTTCTGGAATTGTTTTTTAGGCATCAGTAAATGCAGATATACTCTAAATTTGGTTATTCAGAAAAGTATTTATAACAAATTTAGTGTCTGAAGAAAAGGTCTTTTGTGAGATGTAAAGCAAGCGTATACTATTTCTGATTAGAAAAAATGGAAACATCCTCATTATGATTATAGTGAAAGGAACCCCATCAACTTAAAGTCCAACAGTTCCATAAAAAAATTAATAGTCTTGGCTAAAAATTAGCTTTTCTTTTTCACTCTGTTGTTACTCTATCCTAAAATTTTATTAGTAATAATTACAGATTATAAAATGTTCAACTATATGTCATTGTTTTTTGTCATTGTTGGTGAAATTTTATCAGCTTCTGCCGTGTATTTAAGACATCTGAGTTAGGATGCCTTGTGTAAAACATGGCTAAGGTGACTTTTTCATGAAGGGTTCCCAAAAATTGCAGCCTCCAACTCAGGTTTAGGTATCTAAGTAACAGCTTGATTTCCCCAGGTGCCACTCGCCCATTAGCCTCCACTAATTTCAAAAGAAGTGTTGAGATCTCTACACTTAGGAGATTCGGAAACAATTGGTGCCTCCAAAAAAAGGCAGGAATTTGAGCCTTACACAATCATTTTTGTCTGTTAGCCACCTGCATACTCAAAAGAAATATGAACCTGATTGTCAGTTTAGGCCAGAAGCTCAAGTACTAAATGAGTATGGTCATTCACAGTGGGAAATCAATAACCTGCCTGTCGGGGTGATGTGCAGTCTTCATCATCAGAGTGAGACGCAGAGCTGCCTTGATAATGCACTGAGCCTTTCCTAAAGAGTAAATCCATTACTTTCACACTTGCCTTTTACTGGTACTTGCCAATTGGACCATTTGGTTGTGGAAGAAGTGCTAAAGAACAACAAAAACTGAACAAAAACGTATTTCTCTGACTTTTAACCTAACTGGTTATTTGGGAAGTTTAATGGGTTGCCAAAGACAATAAATACTGACTAGTAGAAAGACATAATTTCAGACAAACCAGCTGCAATTGAAAACAATGCATAGCAAAGCCCAACATGGAACAGTTTGTTTTTTCCTAATAATCAGTTACACACGTGTGTTATTCCCAACTATGACAAAGTGATAATGCTAGTACTTTCCTGCGGCTTTCAGAGCACCTGTGAGCTCATTTCGTGAGGATGCCTGGACATATAGGCCACTAGCAGGAATGTTACCTACTCTGTCTTACACGAGCGTGGGTCAGAAGGACTCAAGCATGCTTTGTTGCGTAGGGAAGGATTTAGGTATGTTATTAAATATTTTATGAAATATGACATGCGTGAAAAGAGAACTCCTGGTGCTGAGACCTCTTTGAGAATCTGCCATGCAGAAATCCTCTCTTTCAAATATTCTACCCATTATAATTGATTTCCATGCTTCAAGGGCAGTCAAAGCCCCTGACACGTCCTGGAGCTGAGCAGAAGGCTGAACAAGCCCTGTGGGGTGTAAAGTAGGCCGCTCTGTCCCTGATGGCCAGCTGTAACATGCAAGGTGATGGTGAAACAGGCTGTGCAAGGTCTAGGGCAGGAGGCACGGATTAGGCTTCACAGGTAACTGTGATGAACCCCGGGTTTTGTTTGATGAGCTGAAAAATAAAGCACATAGATCTCTTGAAGTTAGAGTGACAGGTGCCACGGTGGTCTTGCCCAGGCCGTTGGGCCAGCTCCTGCTGAGGGCTGCAGCTCACCCTCAGGGCCCCGGTTCCACTGTCCTGCAGAGCTGCCCCTGGGAGAAACTGTGCCTCTTAGCAAGGGTTAGCCAGGTGGACAGTCACCTCGTGCACCCCTCTTCCTCCTCCTCTTTCTTCCAAGAATGCAGTTGGCAATTAATACCGGTGTACTTGATGTGAAGCTTTGTGGTCCTGCAGCAGACTCCCATTGGGGTGGGTATTCACAGGACGTGGGGAGCTGAACAGCCTTGGACGGCGCATTTTCATACGCTCTGAGTTTGCTGCAGCTGCTGTACTGTGAGCGCGTGCCTTCTGCTGTTTATATTGCTTACAATACTGGATTAATTTGAGAACTGTTTATCGCTTTAATGGAGTGGAGAGAGAGACGTTTGAAGTTCTCATCATCCTTTTTACTTAGTATTTATCACACACAAAAAGGATAGAGAAAACAATTTCTGAAGAATATAAAGGTCAAGTTAGGAAACACCACTGCTGTATAACCTACGTGGTCCCCTTGTGTGTAGACATTGTGATTTGTTATTTAAATGAGATCCTTTTAACCTAACCTCTTCGCACAGGATTTTCCAGATGTGTAATGAAAAAATACAAAATTCCAGCCTCTGTTAATATACTGAATGCAACACATGCGATCAGAACATTTTATGGTCAGTTAAATTCTCCACAGCCACATTGGCCAGTAGAGCTAACAGGGTAACTGGTAAAGAGCTGGCTGTCAGCTTCTTGTCCCTTCTGTGAATCAGCGTTAGTGGGGACTGGAATATGCCCTCAGCGCTGTAGTGAGACTTGAGAAATCAAGGGCCTTATACCTGCCCTCAAGAGTATTCCTCTGGCAAATTCAAGTAGTGAAGTCTTAGAAATATCTGAGTTTTTCAGAGAAGAAACAGTTTTGATTTTGTTTTTAATACAAGCAACATAAACCAGTGTTTAGCCCCATTCATATAAATAGCTATACAAAGTGGCACAGTTACAAAAAACCATAACAACCTACCTCCACCATCTCCTCCATTACCAACAGTCCTCAGAAGTAAGGTTAGGAGGCTATCCAGCAGTGAAGGTTGTTTAAGTTTGATAACCCTTAGAATTACGAATCTGATCTCTGAGATACAGGCGTAGTCCACAGGCTCTACTCAGTCATAATGTTCTCTTATGGTAGGTCTTACACCCTGTGTTTCTCAAACATCTCACAGTCTAAAATGTAGTGCACAAATTGATGGGACAAGCTACCAGGGAAGGAGTGAAAGGAACAGACTTTCTCGTTTGAAAGGTATACAATTTACTTTGGGAGCACTTGCCTCTTTTTCTCCCTCTTCACTACAACTAGCAGTATCATCAGGGAAATTAAAGAAAAAAAAAAAAAGGAAATGTAAAACCAGACACCTTCCAAAAGTATTTTATTTCCTTCCTGAATATATAAAATAAGGTATACGCAAAAAGAATAAAAAAGCAGACAGGACATTTTTTTTCTGAAAAACATTAGGTTTCTATAGCTCAAGTGATTTAAATGAACAGTAATTAGTTTTTTGTAGTTTGCATCATGTGTGGTGGAATGGTAAATGTGCTTTAACCAAACTGATTAATCAAGTGAGCTGTCATCCAGCAAATGATCAGAACAAAAAGTGGAGCAGTATGGGGAAAAACGTCCGATAAACTGATAATGGATCACGAACATTCCTTGCCCTGAGAATCACCAAGGTCACTCTGTTAGGTATTGCTTGTCTTTAGAAAGGTCATAGGGATACAACAGGGAAGACTAGTTACTCTTCGAACCTTAAATAACAAAGAGCATCCTTTAGAGTCCTGTGGACTGATCATGTTGATACATACAGCTATAGGTTCATCTAACTCTGGGAATAGCTGTATGCATTATGTATACATAAACATATGTATGTTTGAGCTTAAACCACAGAAAGGTATCTCAAAAAAAAAGAATAGCCACACAAAATTAAATTTAGCAGATTTCCATCACAGGCAAACCCTCAATATCTTTTCAATCAGCAACTCTTTTATGAAATCTGGTGGCACATGTTCCAAAAATTATTATCCAATTCTTCTTTATTTTCAAGCCATACTCAACTGCACATTTAAAAAAGAAGCTAATTGTTTTTCTTCTACTGTATTTTCCTTTTAAGTCCTTCATGTTCTAAATGCATTTAAACTAGCTTTAAAAATATCAAGTTCTGCATATGTTCAAAGCAATAGGTCTCAAAGACATTAATTAGGCCTGAATGTAGAAATATATCATGTTTCATAAAATAGTTAGGAACCTAAACCTATTTGTCACTTATATAATTCTGAAAGTTCATTTCTACTACCATTACGAACAACTCAGGAAGAGGGTACACTTTGAAGTACAACTATGATTGATTAGACTAAAGAAATTCCAGTGCTTCGTTGTGTACTACTTTAATCTTTTGAAAAGTGAATGAACAGCAGATGGCCTAATAAAGACACTCTGTATGTTTGCCCAGTATGGATTTGCTCTGAAGAGATTGGTTCAACACTTTAGAGTACATATATTTGGAATACATCTGTCTTAGTCAAGACAGATGGCTAAAGGAAAGAGAAACTTCCAAACACTTGGAATTAATCCAGCTTGAGCACTGCTTCTGAATGAAATTTTAATGGAATATGACTATTGTTCTGTTAACTTTAGTGGAAGAATACAGCTGTGAATATTATAGACGTATATAATTTTGATGGCTACTGGACAGGATTGTTCATGCTTGCTTTTGAAATAAAAATATTGTTGTTAGTGGATATGTTCTAATCAGCCTGTTGATAAGGAATCATATTTATTTTCTAGTAGTCAATCCTGTATCTTCCACATCACCTAAGCTGACTAAAATTAACCACACCCATATAAAACATGGTTTTCCTGTCCAGTATTAAAATAAAACTTGTTAATGTGAGACTTTAAAAGTATGTGTATGTGTATGTTATTTCAATCCCATGCAATACCATATGTTAAATCATAAGATTCTTTTTAACTACCAATTTTAATACAACTTGCAAATTTGAAAGATCTATGGGGTGTGGATCATAGATGATGTATGAAATATATGCCTCTGCAATTTACTCAGAAAGATGTCAGTCAAGCTGAAAAAAACACAACACACCCATACCAGCTAAAGAGTTCTGTACAACAATGAATGATTTGGGAGTTTTTAAATTTTTGTATTAGGATGTTGCAGTTCAGATGACATCTACTTTGTTGAAAAGCTGTCCATTTCAATAAGCTTCTCTGCTAACGTTGCTGTGTTATTATTCAGACTGTTTGACTGTATTGGTCTCAGGATGTTTCTGACTGCTGTACTCTTATTTTCTGTTTTGCAGTAATAACAAGTAGTGGCTACAGCCCAAGATCAGCGCACCAGTACTCTCCACAGATATATCCCTCCAAGTTAGTGTCTGCACCTCTTCTAGTCTTTTATAGGGAATTGACCTTGGCTATAGGCAGTTCTGTGGTTTGTTGCAAACAAGTGCTAATCAGCAGAAGAAACAGAGAAATGAAAATACTTAAGCCTCCGTACTGACTCCATTATAGCTCTCTCTCCAACTCTTTTTTTCCTCATGTGGTTGCAGAATAAGATCCTGCTCTGTGCAGCATTGCTGCACAAGAAACACCCTTGAATATCTGCACACAACAGAAGGGAAAAATTGGACTATTATATTCTCAGACATCAGCATCTTAACAGTGCTGGCAATTTATACAGGCATATTTTGAAGAACACAGTTTATATTTAGAAATCACAATTGCATGTGCAGGATGCGTACTGAGGGGTAACCCTGTCACAGACCCTCCCAGCACCAACATTGCCAAACACTTCCAGACATTCCACAGTCATGAACCACCCTTTCCTCCTCCTTCTCCGTTATCATAAGATTTAAAAATCAAATAAATTGGCTTAGCTTTCAATCTCTTTTTTTTTAATTATTATTGTTTTTAAGCCAATGGGTGTTATTAGGAGTAGAAAATTTCTTTCACTTATTTTTGAGGAAGACAGACTCTTGGGCAATCACATTAATCCAGGAGTGGAAACTTTAGGAAAAAGCACTGAAGATGTTATATGAAACCGCTGCAGTTGGCAGTCTATTAGTGTGCTTGTCCTACAGTCAGTGTTATACACAAGGGTGCTTGATACCAGTATGCCATCTATTTGTTTCTGTGTATTTGATACAGCTACCTGTGTGACTGATGCAGAGAAAACATTGACACTATAGTTGATGAGGCTTTTTCAAGTTTCTTTAACAAATTTGCATTCGTATCATGGTAGCCAGTATTTATTAATACAGAAAGTAGGTGTCCGAACTAAGAACAGCCCTCATTCCACTTAAAACAGGTTTTGGCAAAGTATATCAGATACTGTTGGCCAAATACATTACAAGGTTTAATAGAATTTTTAATCTACTGTTGTAATTTTTTGGCGTCTAAATTAATGAGTAATCCTTTTCTGATAGTAACTGCTGCCAACTGTACTGAACTAATTAGAAAGAAAAAATTTTAAAAAAATTAGAATATGAAATTTAGTCATGGCTTTTAATGGCCAGGCTTCAGTTAGCGTAATTCTACAGAGTGTGTTTATTCAACTCTTGGTCCATAAAGTCTTACTTGACTTACAAAACAATCCAAGACAAATGTTTCACTGTATGTTTTTGCAATTCTGGAGGGCAAAAATTTTAAACTTGATTTTATTCAATCTCTCTATAAAACCCCAGTATTCATAAATAAAAGACTATTTTAATTTCCATTCTATTTCCCTAGCCCATATTTTCCAAACATTTAAAGCCCATCTGGTTACCAAAGTATTGCCATCAGTATTTTTCATGCTGCTCTCAATGGGCACGATCCATCTCCCATTGAAGCCAGAGGCTGGATGTCTGTTGAAGCAGAACTGTACACAGAGGCTTTAATGTAGTAGCTTTAATGTTTACCTCTGTATTTTCTTTATTCTTCTAGTCCAAGTTTCCCTCCACTGGGTTAAAACAGCATGGGGGCTTTTCTGATTTAAGCGTACCGATCTCGGCTGAAAGGGGTCAAATTCGTATAAAGCCATATAGCAATGGCACAGTCCACCTAGAGCTGGACACAGTAGCTTGACAATTAAATTGTAGCGATGGGACAGCACAAAATATTCACTGTGCCCTGGGGAATGTGAACCAGAGTGGTTTTCAGCTTATTTCAGTGGGGGATGGAACAAATCCCAGAAGAGGAACAGTTGGCAGAATAATGAACTGCCTTTGGACATCTTTAAACCTTTTTCTTTACTTTATTGCTTGAATCAACATACAAAGTATTTGTTGCCACAGTAATGCTATTTTTCCTAATATTTAGGCCCTATCCACACATTCTTTCTACACCAGCAGCTCAAACAATGTCTGCCTATGCCGGACAAACCCAGTATTCAGGAATGCAGCAACCAGCGGTCTATACAGCCTACTCACAGACAGGACAGCCGTACAGCTTGCCCACTTACGGTATTTGACCTCTTATTACTTCACCTTGAATAGAAGTAAAAGCAATGCTGACGTGAACGTTTTTTGCTTCTTTTTTATTTTATTTTCCCAACTGTAAGAAAATATTTTAAAGAATCAGTTGAAAATTAATTTCTTATACAGATTTGGGTGTAATGTTGCCAGGCATCAAGACTGAAAGCGGGCTCTCGCAGACCCAATCACCACTGCAGAGTGGGTGCCTCAGTTACAGCCCAGGGTTTTCCACCCCACAGCCCGGCCAAACACCCTACTCTTATCAGATGCCAGGTGAGTAGCCACCACCGTCAGGGCTCATCCCATCCTGCTGCTGCCGATGGCGCCCTCTTCCCTCATATTTATGTTGTATTTTCCATTCATTTTTGTGAACTCCAGCAAGTGTGCTTATCATTGGCAGCTACTTTTACCTCTAAAATTTAAAGCTATGTATTATCTTCCAGTACTAATATGCATATATGTATTCATTTTGGTCATCTGTTAATTTAGATCTGGTCATGCGATGCAGTCCCTATTTGCACCTTCATTTTTTAATGGGGTAAAATCACATGGCAGGACTGTAAGAATTTGTTTTATTTATTAGGGTACACAAATCACTTTTCCTTGTTTCCATGTTTCTGAGCATGACATCATTTGATACTTGTTTCTCTTTGGATTAACAGAATTTGTTAGAATTTCTCCTTAATTCATATTTATTCTTTCATTTATTATTCAATTATTAATTCACTTATTACCCTTTGGTCATTGATAACCTGTTTTATTTGGATAATTTTTAAGCTTCTTATACAAGGGTTAATCTTTTAAATATTACAAATTACAATATGAATCATCTGACTTATGTTGAAAACAAGGACATTCCTCATTACAGATCGATTAAAAACACCTGGATCATTAAAATAGTCTTTGAAAAGTTTTTTGTTTCGTAAGTGAACATACTCTAAAGTGTTAGAACATAGAAATGAAGGCAAAAGGGAAAAACAATATTTGTGGACAGGTGAGACACTGCAATAAATTGAAAAATGCTTTTTTGATCAGTGTAATGACTTGCTGCCAATACCTTCCTGGCAAAGCATGAAGAGGAATGTATGCCTGTATGCATGGAAGTAGCATTTAATTTCTTTTAGAGTTTCATTACAATATTTTATTGTTTAAACAAAATAAAAGTTGTTTGTTCTTCAGATTCATCTATATCTTAACATGGACTGTTGTATTCAGAATTCTATTTTGATTCACAAGCAAGTTCTCACAGTTAATTGTATTTTTTAATTTTAGGTTCTAGTTTTACACCATCATCCACTATTTATGCAAACAATTCTGTTTCAAATTCTACAAACTTCAGTAGTTCACAACAGGTATGAATATTAACATTTTTGTTTGTCAATTGCAGAAGGATTTATATAACTCCAATGACAGCATGTTATTTTAATTTATATCTGTTATGTTGAATTAGACTCACTGTGGTTCAGTGCTATTTTCTGTGGAAAGTGAGTAAAATCCCAGTGGAAGCCTAGGTGCATCTTGTGGCACTTAAATACTTCAGCAACCTCCCTGTAGTCTTTTCGTAAATATCCTTAAATTAACTAATGTTAAATATCCTTAAATTAAAAAAAAAATCTAAACTAAACCCCCAAAACTCTTGCAAAAATCATATGATTGCACATTTAGAATACTTAATAGTAAAATCACTTTAACTCTACTTAAGTACTCTGCTGCATTTGGTCTTTTAGGATTATCCATCATACACAGCTTTTGGCCAAAATCAATATGCACAGTATTACTCAGCATCAACATATGGTGCATATATGACCTCAAACAACACGGCTGATGGCACTTCTTCATCATCATCAACCTACCAGTTACAGGACTCTCTCCCTGGCCTGACTAGTCAACCAGGTACAGATCTACATTCAGGTGAAAACAATTTTTATATTTTATTTTGTACTTGTATAAAGACAAGATTTCATATGAACCTTGTTTGAATATTGACATTTTAAGCTTATTCCTTTCAGAAAACTTTATCATGCAAAGCAGCCAAAATAAGCTTTTTTTTGGTTTAGTTAGGAAACCTGTCTAGTTTGTTTGTTAGTTAAAGAAAGCTCTTTGCAGACTGAGATGGTTGTCTGTGTAAGGAGAAGGCCTGAAAAAGTTACAACAGTCTGGTAGGGATCTGTTAGTACTGAAAACAACCATACAGTAACAAACCTTTAGTAAATTTTGAAATAAAAATTCAGTGGGCTCTCCTGTTACTGACAGGGGAACATTCCTGTATCCAGCTACATGTTCTGAAGTATTGCTGTGAAGAATTTAAAACAAGATGCTGTTGTTCATTTAATTATGCCCCAGTCATGCTAGCAAGAGTACATGGGCTTTATGTATGTATACAAGCCATGGTTGCCAATTCACAAATTTAGGTGACTAAGAATAGAGCCATTGGTTATTAGCACAAGTCTCTTTAAAAAAATATCATTGAAATAGTTGATGTTGCAAAAAAACGTTCTCGGGAGACCTCAGGAGACTCACTTTGCCTGCCCAACTCTGCCCTCTTGTGCACATCCACTACAACACAGTATTTTGTTGCACCGTTCTATTCTTAGAGTCCCGCTGCTGGATAATGGCAGCTCTTCATTTGCTCATTACCGTTATAACCCAGTTCACTGTCATTTGCCTGCTCCATTCTGTGTGTTCTGCAAACACAAATGTTAATATGGATTTCTTTCTTTTTTTTTTTTTATGCTAGTTTTCTAAGTTCCTGAACATCTCACCAATTTATTTCCCCCCACTTAATATAAATGGGACTAAAGTAAAGGAAAGTTAAAACTATGTAGTTGAAATTATGCATAGTATAGTGCAGAGCTATGAAGATCTTGGTGGGATAGTTTAGGAATTCACAGCCACTGTCAGATGAGGGTGGTATCCTTACTGGGTGAACAGAGCCTGCTTTTCATGCTCACTTGCCTGTACTGTTTCTATTATATAGGACATTCTTAAAGATTTAGTTCAGTATTATGTCATATATTCATAACGTTAGTGGCTTACGAAGGCTGTGTGTAGCATCTATGGGAGAGGTTATCAATTGCCAGCTGCCTGGCTCAGTGTTGCTAGACCAATCTCTTTCAGGGACACTGGCTTCCCTTATGCAGTGTGGGTAGTGTCTGCCTTACCCACACACCGTGAGCATTTATAAAAAGACTAGCAAACTGGGGTTTGGATTAGGCTCTGAATAGGGGGGAAATGGGCTTTAATCACAAAATAAACTCATTGCATAAATTTTCTGGATTCTCATCCTAACTGCAACATCTCACTCAGAAGTATAGTAGGAAAACTAATGTATTATAATAAAGAATTTGTACAAAGGAAGGGTAATACTGTGTAGAAAAGTATAAGCGAGGCCTCATACTTCCTATAACCTGCTTAAATTTACTAAAAACATTGGAATTTTAATTGTATGAATTGAAATTTTTCCTTGCCAGATGTTTTCTTCAGGCTGATTTTTAAAGTCTGTGTGTGTGCACACACACACACGTGCACATGCATGTTTGTGGTATGGTATGGTATGGAGTGGATATGGGGAGATAACACATTCCCTTGGTTTTTGATGAAAGCGTAAAATGTTACTCAGTAGTGTCAGAATGCAAATTTAGGAAGAAAAAGCTAAGAGGTAACTTGAAATCAAGTGACATTTCAACAGCTGCAGGACATCCATAACAGACACAAATCATATGTAGAGCATTTTTAAAAGAGTGGGATGAGTACTCACAGCTGACGTTTTGATAATTGTGCATGTTCTGTGTATTTCTCTTTGTTCCTTTGTTATTCCCCCATATTTTTATTTGAGAAAATCAGATGGTGTTTCCCATACTGTCTGTCCCTTGTGTATCTGTTTCCTAGAAACGCTGTATAGGTTTATCATGTATTACAAACTGCCTTAATATTGAATAGCATTGACAGAAAAAAGGAATCTTACATAGCTTGAACAGGTTGAAAAAATATTGAAGGCTTCACATCTATGAAACAGTAAGAAATTTTCTTGCTTGTGGATTGTTTAAGCATATGAACTTGTTTTCTTGTTAAGTAGGTTGTGCATCTGAACTTACAAATCTGCCCACGCACTCCTTACTTCTGTGAAGGGTTGCACTGATCATGCGACTCTCTGCTGAGAGCACAACACCCACTGTGCGAATACATGACATGCCTGTGTCCTTCTGTGTCACTGTAAAAATAAATGTCCATCAGTGAGGTGCAGTGTCTTGGAGATCACTTCAGATACAGTAGATCATACTGCAGAGCTTCAGCACTCACCGTATTCACCTGCTGTCTAACAGGCCTTTATTGCTCGGTCCTTAAGACTTACTGCAACTAAAACCTAAGATTAAACACAGCAACGCACTTCACTCTTCTGCCATCTCTGCTAGCTATTAATTCAAATAACGAATCAAAGCCTCTAGTACTCTCCACATGTACAGGATTTCATGTTTTTGTAATAAAGCCCCATCAGATCAAGAGTTAATATCAGTTATATTTATTGACCAAGTAAAGAAAATGGGATGAAAATTGAAACAGACTTTACTCTTTCTGCTACTCATAATAAGCAATAACACATTACAAGCCAGGAAAAAAGATGTTTGTAACGTTGAAGCCATCTTTTGACTGCTCCTTCTGCTAAGAATATGTAACAAAAGTCAATCCATAAGGAGAGTATGAAGGGGCTTAGAAGTTCATCCATCCCACATCTGTGTAAGGCTCAGCTCCTTACCCTTCCCATGGACTTCTCTTTGGTGTTTGTATTGTGCCTGCCCTACATTAAGATTTTTCAAAATGCACTCATTACCACAGAGTATCCATGAGACAAATAGGTATCTCCAGGGGCACTCCATCTCATATTGGGATAAGTCAGGAGAATCCTTAAGGGATTCTGCCTCAGGAGATGAGTACATTTGAGTATATTCGATGAGTACATTAGTACATTTAATCTAGGGTGGATAAAATTCTGGCAGAGGAAATAGGTCTGTAGGGAGCCTGGGTAAAAGCTTCACGTTTAGGCACCTCACTTTCATATGTCCAGATTTAGGTGAGGTGATATCATAGGATATTAGCTCCAAATCGGTTTCTGGGATGCAGCAGAGCTTGGCTCTCTTAATTTGGTACCCACAGTGAAATCACCCTTTGCAGCTTCTCCAGGAGATGGCATTATGAAAAACAGCACAAAGGTCTATATGCAGACTGTGCCCGTAACTCTTTTCTCCTGGTTAGGTGGCACAACTGTGTTTTAACAGGGAGGAGAGGATGTTCACATCAAACTACTGGTGGGAAACAATGTTTTGGGTATGAAAGACTACCTCCTTTTGTAACGGTGGTGCTGTAGCTCCTTGTCCTTTAACTGGAGCTACTGCAAGGTCTCCACGGCATGGAAGGCTTCATGCTGGACATGAACCAGTGTATGAGTATGTGTATGAACATCTGTGATAAAGTGGTCATTCCATGTTCTGGTTTTAACATTTTCCTCTTGCTTTATTGGATCTCTGATGCTGCTCATAGTTCCAGTGGGAGAAGGCTATGAAGTATATCTATTAGGCATGTGTTGAATATTGGAAAAGCTAAAAAATTTCAAACGTGCAATAAAAATTACTATCTAATATGAGCTGCGGTAGGAACTCTTCATGAGGGTAAGGTTTTCAGAACTCTGGTGCTAGAATTTCTCACATTCTTTTATGTTACATGGCTGAATTTTTAGTAAGTTTTCCTTTTATCAGCATTGACCTCATTTCTAAAGCAAAGGGAGGATCAGAAAATGCAGTTGCTCCTTTAGCCTGCTGCTGGTAAAAAGCAAATCAAGCAATTAAGCCTACAGTTGTTCCAAAAAACATGCACTACTGACTTCTGCAGTTCTAAAATAGATGCATACCTTGCATTCAAGTAAGAGACAGCTGCTCATTCTGATTTAGAGATTAGCGTAATGAAATAAAGTTGGCTTTAAATATCTAGAATTTACAAGGTACAGTGATTAGTTACAGTACTGATTAATGGATAATTATGCAATCATGTACAGCATTGACCCAAGCAGAAGCCTGGGGCAACTGGTAATGGCTAATGCTAAATGAAAATTGAAGTTATTTACTTCAGTTGTTAGATACTTTCAGAGAAGATTTAGAACAAGGGGGTTTTTATATATTATTTTTGGTAGATGAGAGTAAACACAGTCATTGAGAACAGATGTTTTAATACATTACTGTAGAAATGAGTCTTGATTTTGTTGTAAAATGTTGAAATGTTATAAATATGAAGAATTTTGTGGTAAGAATGTAAACATTCATTTTCACTTATTTAATTTTTGCCTTTTCATTTCTGGGGTTTTGTTTTGGGATATTTTTTCCACTCTGTCAGAAAAATCTAGGAAATTATATTTTCAGACAGAACTCTTGCATACTCAGAACTTCTTTTGAAGTCAGTGTAGGTTTTTGCTACATGAGGATTCTGTTTATGAAGCATCTTTTTGTACGTTTGTACATTTACCCAAGTATATTTTACTATTCTTCTTATGGAGAAACAACTAAGATAATGTGACCTTATTGATCGCTCCACTGCCTGCAGTGTCCTTACTGACATCAACACTGTGCTGGGAATAGAAATGATTAGTCAACAAGAATTCTCCCTCCGTTCTGTAGGGACAAAGTAAAAACAGCATGGGAACATTATTCATGACATGATATTATTGCTGTTCATTTCTTGGCAAGTAAGAGTTTTGGCTGAAGAGAAACTACTACAGAATGCATATGATCCTTATCCAAATCCAGACAGACCTGCCTAAAACGATACCTGGAATAAATTCTCAAATTGCTGCTGTCTGAAAGTTTGTCTCTGTTCTGCACAAGCAGAGAAGCACGTTGGTTTTGCGACATTGAATTAGTCATCACCTAGTTCGAGAAAAAGTAGTAGTATCTTCTTCCAGTCGATAGCAGAATAATGTGAGTACTTTCCCAGGAAGTGAGGGAGACAGATTTGATTTCCTCCTGTTTCATGGAGGATTCATCACTTTCTACTTGAGGGTACAGAGATACGGATTCTTGGTCATGAACGTATGTCTTTAGACTTCATATATATCAGTCACTGAGTCAAATAAACCAGTGTGCCCTGGAGAAGGCAGTGGAACGTGAACGTAGGTATGTCCTTCTCCAGATAAATGTCCTTATCAATAGGCTCAGGAACTAACTTTCTTCTTGTTCTCCCCTTTCCTTGAATCTTGAATTCTTTCCTCACAATGTCTAGAGCTCCCATTCAGGAATGTGACATTATGGGCTTAAATCTTATTCTTCCAAGAAATACAACAGTATTTTCCAAGTCAAGATATATAAATATAACTTCCCAGTGTATTTAGTTTAATAATCTTCTGTATGTGGTTCACTGTAAGGAATAAATAAATGATGGAAGAGATTAAGAATTTAACTATTGTGTTACGTTATGCATAGACACTTAATTGAGACTGCAGTCTATTTTTTCTTCTTACAGCCTGCTAGACTAGAGTTGTTTTCATCTGTGTTGTGGAGGGAGAATGAGGTGAATGACTCAAGGAAGATCACAGAAACATTCAATCATTCACGCTGGAAGGGACTTCTGTGGGTCTTTTGGTCCAACCCGCTCATGGATGAGCCAACTAAGATCATGTTGCTCACGGCTGTGTCCAATTGAGTTTTGAGTATCTCCAAGGGTGGAGAATGCACAGCCTTTCTGGGCACCTGTCCCACGGCCTGACCACTCTGACAGTGAAGGATTTTTATCTTGTATCTAACAGGAATATCCCTTGCTGTGATTTCTGTCTGTTGCTTCTTGTCCTTTCTCTGTATACGGCTGTGAAGTCACTCAGCCTTTCCTCCTATGTGCTCAGCCCCTTAACTGTCTTGGTGGCCCTCACCTGGACTAACTCCAGTTTGTCAAGATCTCTCTTGTACTTGAAAACTAGACATTTTTCCAGACGTGGTCTTGCAAGTTCAGAATAGAGCAGAAAAATCACTCTCCTTGATCTGCCGGCTGCTTTCTCTGTTGCCTGGTGGACTTTGGTGACCTTAGTGATGCTCTTTTGTAAAAACGAATAATGTTCAGATTCCAGCTCAAAATCAGATGCATCATAGATGATTCTTGGGAAATGTTTGTACCACATGTTAATTTATTCTGCAGATGTGCCATCATCAGCATTTTTAACAAATATTAGCAAAGTGGCCCCGAAACGCATAATGACGTGCAGCACAAGGACTCCCTTGAATCAAACTCTGTACTAGATGTCAGAGCTAAGCTCTACCCTTTCCTTCTTTAATGGAGAAAAATCGAATCATTAATAGGATAGATGATGAAGGAGGATTTATGTCATTTAGCACTCAGGTACCTAGCCAAACTGCATTTATTGCTAGCAGCTTTAAAAGGTCATTGAAGGTACTGTGTTATGAAGAAAAGGATATTTTCTGTTTTCTGAGCTGTGTCATAAAAGTACTTTGTAAGGGGAAGTTCCATGCCATCCTTCCTGCAGTCTGTCTGACTTACACAGCTACTGGTTTTTGATCACCTCTGAAACCCTTCGTTACCAGCAGAGGCAAAGTAGATTAAATGCGTAAGTCAAGGGTAGGCCTGAGTGTTAAGAGCAACTCTGCCACGCCAAACCAAAGGTTCTTGTAGCACATCTTCCCTCTGACAGCAGACAATAGCTGATACTTAGAGAAAGATGATCAGAATACAACAAGTATGACTTCATCCTCTTTCTGGTAGTAACTGATATATTGCATTTAATATTATGACTTTTCCAATTTATGGGCAGAGTTAAGGTGAAAAAAAAAAGTGGAATCTACTAAAGAGCAGGTGACATGGGAGGAGGACGTGAAGCAGGAAGCTGACTGGCTCTTCTGGTGTGTGGACATGTGCCAAAGGGTGTTCTGGTAAAAGTAACACAGGACTTGGAAATAAGTCTAGCTGAACTCCAAACATGGGAAATGAACTGCTTTAACTAAAAGGCACTTCACGTTTTGAGAAGTCATTAGTGTGACTTTTAAAATGCATCTTCCCTGGATCTATCAATATTTTGCATGTGCTCATGTGTATTTGTATGTATGTCTGCACATGCATATGTGTCATTTTAATCTTTTCTTATTCTGCTAAGGTTTATAACGTTTCCTTGGTAAAGTCAAAAGTGTATGTGACATCTGCAGATTCCATCTACATAAGACAAACCACGTTATCACTCATTTTATACAACTTTTTTAGTGCATCTTGGGGTTGAGTTTGCATACCGACATGTCTAGCTATGAGAAAAAAAAAGTTTATTATTTAAAAATCCAGCACTAATTTTGCCACGAATGGTTGACTTTACAGGGGAGTTTGACACAGTGCAGAGCCCCTCTACGCCAATCAAAGATCTTGATGAGAGAACATGTAGGAGTTCTGGGTCAAAGTCTCGGGGTAGAGGGCGGAAGAATAATCCATCACCCCCTCCGGACAGTGACTTGGAGGTATGCCTGCGGTAACTGATGAATGGTAATGTGGAGGTTTCTTCTGATGAAAAGTAAATTTTGAAAACTACAGCTGTGGAAATAGCTTAAGGCATTTTAGAAAACATTATGGACTCAGTCCCACTAACTGAATATAACAGATCTTAGTTGGTGGTTTAACATACACGTACAATGAGACATTACTGTTCTTGATGACAAAGTTAGGCAGAAAAGTAAATGTGATTCAGCCTTGCACTTTTTAGCTCTAAGTTTGCATGTCTTTCAGTTTCTCATGCAACAGAACCACAAAACTGTGAGACTTCTGTATTCAAAATTGTCACATTGTCTTTTAGTTTTTTAAATAGGAAATCTCAAATATATTGCTCAGCTTAATTACATGTATTTATGAATGCAGTGTAAATACGCAGGATCGTCTGGCCATAGCTTTTCAAATGCTTACGCGTAGGTTTGTCCTTGTGCCTTTAAGTAATGTCAGTGGATTTCAATGAGGCAGCTTACATCAGTGAAGTTATGGCTGTACTTAAGTATGTGCAAGATTAGTGCCTTAGTGAAGAAATATATCTGCCTAATATATGGGGCGACGATATAAAGCGCTCTTAGCAACGGAGTAATTACAGTCTTGTTACTCCTGTGTTAGCAGTGCACTGCCTTACAGTGGCGGGAGGAGGAGGAGGAGGAAGCGGAGTGCCTGTGTGTGTGTGAAACACTCCAGCTCTGACATCAGGGGAGCGTGCTGCCCGTGCTGCCCACCAGTGCAGCGTGTCCCCTGCTGCCACCAGACCGGCACTGGGAGCCAGCAGCCCTGGCCAGCCCCACTGCTGTGCCTTTGCTGACCAGCTCTGGGTGCAGCAGGAGGCAAGACTGTTGCTGGGACTTGGCTGGCCACGCAGCCGCTCCTGGGGTGATAGGGTGGGCTGCAGTGCTAGGCACTGAATGTAAATGCCATTGCTTTTATACAGAAACGTATGAATTTTTTGCTTTTCAAAGGATTTAACTTTTCCAGTGAAAAGACTACGTTTCAGTTTTCCTGTCTCCTTTATAGTTTGCCAGTGAAAATGAACCCCTTATCAATATAAGGAGTTCCTCTCCTTTTTTATTTTTCTTTTTGAGTTAGAATAATCTGGTTTATGCTACAATATTATTTAAATTCTGTATGACATTTTTACCCAAGGCAATTTTAGCTATACAATAGAAATAAAGAAGAACCTTGAATCAATAAGGCTTGCAGAGAAGTATCTTGAGAGTACTGTTTATACTTAGTTAAGTTAACAATTATGTTTGACCCCCTTCACTTTTCTGAAATCTGTGTTATACAGCTTTTTTGAAAACTTTTTTAGAGGACAGATAAGAAATGGTTGAAGAGTTCAAAAGTTACTCTCCTGATTTTTTACCATGCATGATACACTGTTCTTGCTGATTTTCAGAGAAAACTTGCTCAGTTAAGTGATTGGTTAAACTTCAGGACTCAGTTGACTTTTAGCCCCCCCTGGGTGGGATGCTGGTAGGACTTTGATGTTATCTATTTAATAATATTATCCCCACTTCTGTTTTCAGCGTGTATTTGTTTGGGATTTGGATGAAACAATCATAGTTTTCCATTCGCTGCTTACAGGATCCTATGCACAGAAGTACGGCAAGGTATGTGAGCCTTGAATTCTGCTTCAATTCACTGTATCAGAGCTATCTGGCCTGCCCATGTACATGTTTTTCACCTTCCCTGTTCATCATGGCTTGGGTGAAGTTAGAGGGAAAGTGTTACAGTAAACCCCATTTTCAGAGGGTTAATGTGAAAAAGTCAAGGAGAGCAATGAGACACAGACCCTAAGCACAATATATGAGGCAGGGCTGAAGCAGATGCTGCAAATGAGGGAAGAGTTTATACAGGAACAAGCATGAGGCTCCTGACGTATGTTGGAAGAGATGTTGCAAGAAGATAATGGATGTAGTAGGCAAATGGAAATAACTGGCAGTATCTGGATGCATGGAGGAAGAAATAAGTAATAAACTGGAGTGATGGGTGAATTTACGGGGAAACTGATGAATCAGGATGAGTGAGTAAGAGACTGACCTGTTCCAATGCCAGCTGTAGATGTTATTCTTTGACTCCCCAGCTTTTCTGTTGAATCTTTGGCTCCCTTGGCTGGCTCTGGGGTGAGTAATGCTGGGGAGTGAATCCCTCACCCAAGCGGACAGTCATACTCATCCTCTCCCCTCTGATGAGATCCAAAAGGAGTGCAGGTCATGGAACAGCAAGCAGGAGAGCAGGAGGAAGAGCGAGGGAGGCAGAGAGAGGCGGTCGCAGCCTGCAGGAGCAGGAGCAGGAACTCCCCTGCTGAGTCAGCAGCGAGCCACTGGGCTGGTAACGGGAGCCCAGGGAACGGTGCTCGGGCAAGGGGAGAAGGGAGTAGTGGGAAGACCAGTGCGTTGAGACAGGAGCAGACTGCTGGGAGAGGTAGAGCTAAAGGCCTGGATAAAACAAAAAATTAGGGCAAATGTATGGAAGGGAAGAAAATGGACAGGGAGAATGTTGGTATGTACATACGTGGATGCAGGTTTTCTAGGTGTTGTGCCATTCAAGAGTAATTAATACAAAGGTATTTCTTTTTAAGAACATAACCATGTCCATACTACGTCAGACGAAGGGCTTGTTTAGGATAAGTTTCCCGCCTCTTTATCCCAGCCAGAATCAGATGCTCAAGAAAAGGATGTGAGAAGCAGTATATTAGAGAAATCCTTTCCACACTCACCTCCCCAGCCAGTGGGTTAGAAGTGTCCAAAGACAGAACCTGTGGATTATGACCACAGATGGGCCAGTCCTCTTGTGTTTTGAGACAGCTGTTTGTGGTTATTAAAAAAGAAAGCTAATAGGAAAAGTCACAGGCCCAGACAAAAATCTGAATTTTTTGAATGCTAAGATAAGGGTAGTTATTCATGTCTTGTAAAAAACAGCCTTGCTTGATTTGCAGCTTCACAGTGCCAAATCAGTGCACATTTCAGTATTCTGTCAAAAACTCCTCTTCTGCTGTTTTTCGAACATTGTAACAACAGTGACTTTGTCAGAACCATTTCTAACTTACAGTTATCAAAACAAGAGAGAAACCTAGCTGAACATGAGCATTTATATCACTTTTGAGTGTAGCCCGTAGACTGCCACAGAATTTGCTGAATGGCCCCAGCGAGGTAGTCATTCCTTTCATCCTTTTTTTGATTGTGCCCTTAGGATGTTTACATCTCCTGTGCCATCTCACATAATATATGACTAAAGTCCAAGTCAACTTTAATACAAAGTTTTAAAAATCAGAGAACATTTTGTAGCTCACAAACTTGTATGGATAACTTTGAAAACTGTCTTAGAGACAGAAACAGAAATTAATTCCTCTTGGTTTCTCACTTTGTTATGAGTAGGGATATTTTAAAAAATCCCAGTACCACTGTTCTTTAAGAATCCATACAGAGTCCTTAGAAACAGCAATGGCATATTAACAGCCAGTAGTACTGACAGCAGATAATGTTGGCTTGTATAAACCCAGAGTACCTCAAGGGCAAGTGAAATTAATGTAGATATGCTGCTGAGATAAGCAACAGTAAACAAATGTCACGAACAACCATGAAGCAAAAGGAGAGGAATTCTTAAGTATAATCCTTTCTTTTTTTGTACTTATAGGTGGCATCCATACAAGTAGGGAAATGTGTGCATTTCAGGAGACTGTAAAATGAAAGTAGTAGACTTTCTCCTTCCTGCAGTGACTACCTTTGCCATATTTATAGAGAGCTCATTGGGAAGGTAATTGCCAATGGAACTCAAATATATATATTGTTGACTGCAAGGAGGCTAGAGCAGTAGGAAAGGGAATACAGGGAGAGCTTATCATGAGTAGATTTTAACTTTTGCATGTCACTAAAGCGTTGCCTAAACGTAAGATGGGATATGTCTGAGCCTAAATGCCTAAGAGGTTAGACATGGGAAAAGGGGAAGATAGCACAGCTGGACCTCAGTCAGTCTCTGGTGCATGACCTCTTTAGCAGATGTGGCCCTTATTATTTTCTGCCTATGATTTCCATCTGTAAAGAAGGTCTTAATCCAGACTGGAGTCTGGATTGTTATGAGAATTGGGTTGCTATGAGAGTAAATACTCCATGAATTGTGAGGTTCTCAATGGAAGTTTTGTGAGCACATATGTCTTTCAAAAGTGTTGAGAGCTGTTTATCCTGGAAAGGTGGTATAAAATTGTCACTTAAAAATGAAAAAAAATTCAGGGTGGTGTAAAATAATGGTGATACTAAATTATTTAATTGCAGTGATTTGCTCTCTGATTTTTAAAAAATAAAGGTGTGTAATGTTACACAGGTGTTCAGCTGTGCATAGTATGTTGTTCCGTATGTATTTTGTGAGCCCATTTTGGATAACATAATCAGGTTACTCCCAAAAAAGAAACCACAAAACCAAAAAATTCACAGGAAAAGCAGAGTTTTCCCCTTCCCCCATATTTAAATATTCTAAATGAGATTAGTGAGTCTTTAATGTGAACATTGCTTTAAGGGAAGGCATCTTCTTATACCAAGTGTGTTCACTTCGTACTTTCAAGGGGTGAGATGCTGGGTTTAGAGCTAATGTGAATATACAGACAGGCAAGGATATTCACCGTCAGTTCTTTCCCATCTACTCCTTGACATGTAAACTTTCATTCCCCTTTTCCACTAGCTCTTTACCCTGATTCTTGCAGTAACAGGGCAAAACCCAAGACATTCGGAATTTAGTCTTTTAATCTCTCTGCTCTGCTGCAATTCAGGCTGCACAGGGAATGTAGTGAGGGGAGGTGCAGCATGTGGAGGTGGCCATCATGCTGTTACAGCCAGGCAGAGGAACCAGTGTATGAGTGCAGGAGTGCTTGAGACAAGCCAGCAGACAGATTCTCTTTCAAAGTATTTCTACTTTTTAACAAGTGGTTGGAGTAGAAGAGAAAAAGGAAAGGCAAACCAACATCCCCATAGGCAATGAGGGCATTCGTTGGCAGAGATTATGTGGGAAGGCCTGGATCCAGTAGGCAAGTTTCAGGTCATATATTTGTCAGAACAACAGACTTCTGACTTATGCCTGAGGATTTCTGAAGTTGAGAATGGACACTTTCCTTGGTGTATATACTTGTCCAGCACTTTGCACGGTGTTATTTGATTTTAGAATTATTTGATTTCAGAATTATATAGGGCTGTTATAATAACCATGTTAAAAACAAAACTAATGATTTGCTGAAAGATTTAACTTGTTGGATGCAGCTGTAAGCATCTCTTTTAAAACACAGGGGAAATTGTTGCTTCTTATCTGGACACCAGTAGAGTATAGCTTTAAAATCCACTGAAGTGGGAGGGATTTGGCCAGAGGTTGGTCAATGCATCACTTTGACATTTAAAATATAAAACTTACACAGAGGAATATTCTGTGGCTTGCTGTTTTCTACCTGTGGGTGTTTCTGTCTGACTTTTGGTGTAGTCGTTATTTTATTGGGCTGGTCAGAGCTAACTTAAAAAGAGAATAAAAACTGCACTACCCCTCTGTTAGGTTTCAGGGAAACGGTGCTGCCTCCCAGCAGTAAGAGTACCTCTCATTGTTCAGCTCTTTTGCTCATCTGCTTCGTACTTCATAAAACTAGTACATTTCTATTTTTAATTATTTACTGCAGTAGCAAATTATGAACATTGGCATTTAAGCTGTTATATTATGACTTGTGTGGCTGGTGATGGTTTTTGCAGCTGAGCACCAGTTGGCAGATACAGTTTTCTACAATGCTGAGCTCTTAAGTGAGGATTTGTTGATGTGACAGGACATGTGTTAGGAGATGTCATCATCTGTTAAAAGTCTATGAGGTACATTCTTATTCCCTGTGAACAGTGTGTATTCTTTCTTCCATTGCATTCCAGTTATTCTTGCTCATCTAAGGCTGATTAAGCTGGAATTTTGTCTACTTCTGAGCATTTATATTTCATTCATTTCTCCCAGGTTAATCCAGAGGGCAAGGATGCCCAGATAAATGCTGTGACTCAAGGTGCAACTAGATGAAAAAGAATGAAAGTCCCCTGTGACCTTAGAAGGGGGAGAATGTGATTTCCAAGTGCAAAAATTCACACTTGATGATCACATTTGGACATTTTTGATAGCATCGCCAATGACAAAGTTGTTGGAGAGGCCACATTAACCTTGTACACTTCTCTGGAAAGGGCTCAGAAGCTTTTTATTGCTCACTCTCTGTCCAGTCATTAAACAGAAAACCTTTGTCACCCTTACCACCCATGATGACATTCCCAAATTCACTCATAAATATGCTTTTGTCCGCCTCTATTAATAGTGTATCTCTCATGACCTCCAGTTGTCCTCTCCATTCAGTCCCTCATTGTCTGCAACCTCTGAGTCCATTTTCCTACCTCCGTCTACAGAGTGTGGAACAGAAACTTCCTATGGAGTATGTGAGTTTTCCTTCATCAGCCACCAGATATGGTTATTAAGAAGAGATGTATTCTCTTCCTCCCTTGCCACCCACATGAAGCTCTCCTGGGAACAAGTGTCCCCTATGAGAGAGTGAGAGCTGAACTTGAATCTGAGATTCCTACATAATGTAAGGAAGTGTCTTTCAGCTAAAAATATTGGTACTTAACTTAAGCATTTCCACCTTTTCCAAAGGTCGATTTTGTTGTAAGTCTGTTCAGGGACAGCCACCCATTGAAAATCTATTCTTACAATATTATTCATATATTTTCCTTGTTTTCTTGCTTATTTTTAAGGCTTCATGCATACAAATTCCTGTCACAATGAATCTACCTGACAGTCTATTTGTCTATTTGTTTTCTGAGGTTTTATAAAAAACAGTTTGGTGTGTTTGTATTTTTTTTCCAATAAATTAAGTGATTTTGAATATCTTGTGCTGAAGCCTGGCCTTCCAAGACAATATAAAATAGATTTCTTCCACTAAAGACACAGAGATTTTGGGGCTTTGTTCCAGTCACTTTCCTCTTGGTCAAAACATTTAAATATTGGTCCTCCCAGGATATTTTTCTCTTGTCTCCCAGGAGGCATTCCAGTGGATGGACCAGTCTAGTACAGAAGTCCACAGACAGACAGTCTGGCTCCAGTTTAGTGCTTCATACTAAAGTAACTAAAGTAATTTGTATTTTGGTATACAGAAGTGCTGTAGCTGGTCTTGATTCCTTTGCACGCTAATGCTATCTGGCTAAAATCATGCCTCTGAGGGCCAAAGAGTTGTTCTTTATTCTGCAAATTATCTGGGGAAAACTTCCAGATTTTTTTTTATTATTGTTTCCTCTTTTGTGTGTGCTTGTGCAGAGTAGCACAAAATACCATTTTGGCAGAAGTTCAGTCTGCCTTTTATTCAGTTTCTCAATTTGCTGTGCTCAAATCTGTATCAGCTGCACATGTTTCTTGCTTTCGTTTCAACACTCGGTTCTTTGTGCCACTTGAGTCAGTCTGCAACTTCTGCTTCAAGTTGAAAGACAGTGAAACGATGATTGGGATGTTCCTCCACATTGTGCAAACATTATGAAACCACAAGACCCTGACAAATCTGCTTTCTCTGTCTATTTTTGTATGTGAAGGAATGAACTTAACATGGCAAGAGCTGGAATGTGATGTTTAATTCTTGTTAAACAGTTACAGTGCAAGTTTTGGCCAATTTATTAAAGGAAGAATTGTTCATGTCTTGAGAATTCAATTCCAGTGACTCTTCTTAGCAGAAGTTGTTATGAGGAGATCCCAGACTGATTTCATGCTAAGCTGAAATAAATTCTCTTTGCTTTATTTTATTTTACTTTACATATAGTACCTAGCAATATTCTATGTGTGCCTTTGTCAAAACAGGAACCTAGGAAATCTCATTTTAACAGTAATAAAGTCAGGCATAGTTGGTTACAAAAATACTACTAATAAGAAGATCATAAAAGCTTTGTCACATTTACGTCTTTCAACTATACTAGGCAAGTCAGGAAATTGTGATACATAGTGGGTAGTTTCTGTAAAAATAAATTGGATTATAATGGAATATGTTATAGCAAATTTCCGCATTTAAGTCTGCTTCTACCCAGGAAGGGGAAAAAAGAGGCTGAGAATCAAAATCTGAGATTCCAGTCTTGGAAGCACTCCAGTGAATAACTTAACTCACATAAATAATAATGAGTTACCACCTGTGCATGAAGTTATGCACATGCCTTAGTGTTCATAGGATTGAGGTAAAGAAGCATATTGCAAATACTCTTTATTATATTGTATCTAGGAAGAAAAATTTATAATTTACTGTGCACAGAAAAAAATGCAAGAGAAAGGAGAGAGAAACACATGTTTAGATGTGATGACATTTTGATAAAAGCATTATGGCTTGATGAGGAATCTCATGAGTCCAGAGTATTTTGATGATTTGTGTTCTAAGTATCTTACATGAGTTTTTGCAAATCTGTTAATGTGTGTTCCTTAATCATCCCCTTGGAAAACTGACCTTTGCACTTGCTGCTGCCTTCAGCCACATGACTTTCAGATCCAGTGAACATGACTGCAGAAGTTGTAGGGAATGAAGTTATGTTACTAGGCACTGCATTTGGTTTTTAATTCTGAAAGGTTGTCTAGACCAGTTCAAGGGTGAACATAAAAATATTTCCTTTCACTGCCAGAGAATTGGTTCTAACTTTGGATCATTACAATTTCTTGTACACTATTCTCCCCTTCAAGTCTGCCTTTTTCATGAGCAAGGGTCAAAATATGTCTATGTTTCAGATATTACCATTAGTTTTTAAGTGCTTGAGGGCAGAAGCATCTTTTATTCTGTCATTGCAAAGCCCTGAGTAGCGAACGTCTGATCCTGATTGGGAAGCCTTTGATCTTAATACTAACAAATGATCATTTGATGTTTTGTGTGATTTTGTTGCCAGATGCTGGTAAACTTTTAGACTTTTAATCGCAAGCTGTTTAAGAAGGGATTTCTGAAAACTTGCTACTGTCAATCAGAGTTTAAATGCTGAAATACGGATTTTTCTCTTATTTTAATGAGAAGAGGATCACATCTTTTTTACAAGTCCATTACAGTATGTTAAGCATAAAAAAGTTAACCGAACCCCACAAGCTCAGGCAGATAATTAAGGCAATGATAAAACTAGTTACGAGGTTTCAGCTATGCAACTGTTCGTGTGCATTCGTATTCTAAAACAAATCTAAGGTAATGCAAATTGGCTTAATCTCTTTCCTAGCAAGCCTCGCAAAGTTAAATGAATTATCTCACATTTACTGTACACTGAATGCTCTCAAACTGTTACTGCAGATCGGTAGATTTGTGGTATCTTGCTGGGGTAGAATGATGGGATAGTGTGAAAGCTGACCTACGAACAAATGCAACATTTTGAATGAATCTCATCCAGGAACAGGAATGCTGTATTTGATCCCTTCAGAAATGAATGGATGATCTGTAGCAAACAAGCAAACTTACATATGCTTTCCCATTCCTGTGGACCACCTAAAAAATTGTGCCATAGATTGTAGGCATGCTGAAGAACACTTAGAAGAACACAGGCACTTTGTTGAATGAATACCTGCAATAAAATCATAAAGGAGAGCCCAGAAATTCATCAGTGAGTGCCTGCATGGAAGAAGGGTAAATATTGAGATGGAGAAGGACGAAGTGCAGGGTTTGAAGACACATACTGGAGTGGCAGAAAGTGTGGGAAAGAAGTGATATAGTTCTAAGCATGGGCAAGGCAGTGATGATTTATCCAAACTGAAACTCAGTTTGGGGAAGTGGGCATAGGTTCAGATTACCTTTTGTATTTTTATAAAGCAGAGACATTAGAAATTGAAAAGGCCTCTTAAATCACACCTTCCTATGACAGTGTAGGGTAATTGCTTACAAAGTAATCACTTGGTAGAGATGACTACCTTTCCTAGTCCAATTTAGCATGACCTTAGTGAGGACTTCTGTGTGCCCAAAAATCAGGAAGAAAAGCCAAGAGATCAGAGGAATTGTGCAGTGGACTGGGTGTCACATGAATTAACTTCATTCCTACTTCTGCTGCTGACTCAGTGCATTGGGTCAGAAAAATGAGTTACTGGTCCAATACTCAGCTTCTTTCTGTCCACAAATTGACAGGCAAGATACTTACATATTTTTATAAAAGGCTCAAGGATGAAAACTTGAGTGTATTCTTATAATAATAAATATTGGTTTTCTTACGTATATCTTTTGTGAGAAGTTCCTTCCCAGTTTACAGCCTTCTTTATGCAGGTTTACATATGGCCACCAGGTTTTCTTCTGCCATTTTAGCCACGTTACAAATGCCTTGACTTTCAAAAAACTTGTTGTTTCAACATCCCCAGCTCCCCAAAAGTTCTCACACAGGTTGAGCCTTCTCTTCTTGTAGCATCACATTAAAATAGCTTAATACTGAAAGGATTTTAGAGACATTTCTTGCAGTGGTAACTTTTCAAAACACTTTGTATATAGCAGTTTTTAAAGTAATTGTGATATAACTCAAAGGTATTTAAGTTGTGAACCTTGCTTTCTGTTTTTTAAGGATCCGCCAATGGCCGTGACCCTTGGACTGCGAATGGAAGAAATGATTTTTAATCTTGCTGACACACATTTATTTTTTAATGATTTAGAGGTAAGAATCAAAGGAACATAAACACCGTTACTCCTGGGGTTTTAACCACATAGTGGTTTGCTGTGCATTAGTGTCTGTTGCATGTGACATTTTCTGCCTATCTAGACGTTGGATTTGTCATACTCTAATCAGAGAGAGGTTAGCCAGATGGCAGTGACTTCCCGTGGCACCAGGTTCCTTCCATGAAACTGGGTGAGAGAGGGAATCTGCAAACTACCCTTTCCTCTTTTTGTCCTATGGCCATCTTTTCAGTTTCCATGGATTTAGAGCTGTCTGCAGTCATTGCCAGGAGGGAGCCATAAGTGCCTCCCATTCTTTCTCCTGAAGTTCTCTACGTTTGCTTTCAGTGGTTGCCATCATCTGACCACAAGAGACTGTGTTCTTCTCTCCACATACCTAATTAGCCTTTTGGCCACTGGCCCCTCTTTCTTGCTTAAAGGTAGAATATTCCTCATTTACCTCAAAGACCGCAGCATCAGAGAGCTGGGACTATGATAGACATACTCATCAGTGACGTCTCTTCCCGAGGTAACCGGGCGACCACACGTTTGTCACGATGTACCCAGGGTGTGCAGTTTGGCATCCTGTCAGAAAAAGGAGAGACCTCTTCCTAGGGAATGACCGCTGCGGACTGCTCAGCTGTCAGGAGCACACAGGTGGATGGCCGCAGGGACAGTGGTCTGGAAAGCAGGCTCGTCAGCTGGGCTTCACAGACTTTTTGTTTCACTCCGGGGGTCCGGATCTGTTAGCGTGGAAAGGGACGGTCTTACAACCATTTTTGTCAAGAGGCAGGGGGTGAAAAACAGTTCTCAAATTAAACTGTGGGCTTTTCAGGCCTTCCCCTGGTCTAAATCAGTTGTTTTCTTACTCAGAGCGGATCCCAGAGTTCCCTCTGTGGACAGATATTTTGCCACTAACGGCAGCTGGAAGACTTGGAGGTTCTGTTTAAAATGCCAGAAAAAAGTCTCTGGTGAGTGAATAGAAAAAATGAGGATAAGTGAGATTTTTCCATTCACTGGGATGTTGATTTTTCTAGTGCACTTCTTTTGTTCTTTTGTCGACTGTAGGCACTAAGAAAAGCAGAAGGTACCAGGCTGCGGTTGTCTTTGCCATCCCTTGCAGACCTCACCTGTTCTTAGCTCTTTTTAAGTCAAGAAAATAGGATCTACTTCACCCTATACTTGAGCTCCACTTCCTCCTTCCAGCAGCAGCAATGTCAGAAAGTAAAGCCCTGGACATGCCTTCACCAGTCCGTGTTTTATTGCAGTCCTAGTGAGTCATCACTTGACAATGCAAGTGCATTCGGTGAATGTTCTCCTGGTGCCCCGTACCAGGGATAGATTCCAAATAAATTTTTCAAAGCATTGCTTAAATTTCTTTTTAGCAGACCTTTGCCCCTGCATGTTCAGATTTCATGTGGTACCCAGTGAACTTTAAGCCATTCAGTAGCATGTGCCCAGAGTTCTTCAATCTTGTGCTGAGTTCAAGTGGAAGAGTTCAGCAAAATGGAGCTTTTCCCTCTTTCTGTACCGCTTTAGTCTTGCTTATGGCCACTGAAACTTCATTCCTTTCTCTCATTATTTATTTTCTTTGTAGATCTCAGGTTCAGCTGTCATAGGTGGATCATCACATTTTGTATATTCTTCACAGGGTGGTTTTAATATCCTGTCCAAAAATTCATACTCCAACTCATTCCAGAGCTTGAACAGTATCCAAACAGTTTTCAGTTTTAGATAAATCAAAAAATACTACTTGGGGACTCTCTTGGAAAATCTCATAACTCAATCAATTTGATTTGATTAAAACCAATTTCTATATGCAATTAAGTATTTTCTAGCCCAGAATTCATCTTTGTTTCAAAACTAACTCCCTTATAAGATTACCAAAATTCCAAACTTCTTGTTCTGAAATGAGCTGTATGCACACACTCTGGCATATTCAAGAAGACCAACAATTTTCTGTCTTCTTAGCAAATAAGATATAATTGCATGGCATCCTGTGCCAAAGTACATAGAAGCATCCTTTAATATGCAGATGAATAAATCTGTCTGTTTAAATATGTTTGCAAAGCACATGGTAATTACTGAATATTACAGTGCATCTGCATGATGACTGTGTAATGAATTCTGAGAACTCCCCAGTTCTGACTTGGGGTCTCTCATCTCTTCGTCTTTCTTCATCTTTCTTTCTCCGTCTTCCTCTCTCCATCCTCCCCAAGGAGAGGGGAGGTGAGTGCTGAGCTGCTGATGGTCATGGCCGTCAAGACACAACACCTTTAGTTCTTACTGGAGGAAGTGAGATAGGCCTTTATTCACTAGTCAGAATACTTATCCTTTCATCATCTCACTTTTTTAATGCTGAGCCATCAGGTCCCATACCTTCTGTCTTGCTTTCATCTTCATACTGCAGTAAACCTTGTGGCTCCAGACATGACAAATGTAATGTACTAATGAACCTATATTTCTGTAATATTGACTCCAGTCCCTGCATCCTCTAAGCTCTCTTTCTGCCCTGTCTTTCTTGGTTGCAAACACTGCATACCAAGGTCTAGTAATAATAACCAAGTTACTGAAAGTTATCACATACAAAAATAAAGTTTTCCTTCCTCTATGCAAATCTGTCTCACTACAATGACTGCTGATGCAGAAATTCCAATCTGCTGAGACATTCCCTGCTGACCCAGTAACCCATGTTCTAATCAGCCAAGCTGCACTTTTATTTCGGGCTAGGCTGTTCTCCAGCTATTTCATTCTCAGTGTATAAATTTTAGTTAGCTTGAGAAGTATCACTTGGGAGGTCAGTTGGTGTTTTGCCATGAAAATAGGAGTCTGGTGCTCTAGAAGTTCATGTGCCTGAACAATGCTTAGAGATGGGACTCAGTTCTATAATAGTATCCAGATTAATGCATTCTGTACTCAACCAGGTAAGGAATAAAATGAAGTTTTCCTCCCTACCTCAGTATTAATTTTAAGAGAGCTTTTAGAAGTGTTGGTAGGGCATACTATGCATGCAAAAAAACCAATTTCTAGAAATTGCAAGCTGGAATTTGGACATGAATCTTCCAAGTCCATTATCCCCCTTCACTCTCAGGATGATGAAGAAAAAAAAAGTATTTATTTCAAACAAACTGAATTACATTTCCATTTTTATGATAATCCTAACATATTTTAAATAAGATTTTGTCATCTTTTTTTTTCTCATTAGAAATAGAAATGAGAAATAAAAAATAGGATTTAGGTAAGTCTCAGAATTTGGGAGGCATGTCAAACTAGTTTTAACAGAGACCGAAGCATGTAGATAAAAAGGGGTGTTCTGTATAGCCTGAGAAAGCATAGTGCTGAATATCCCCTCAGTAATAACATTTTTATGTTCAATGTGGTGAGTCAGTGTTTTTACCGGGTAATGAAATTACTGTTCATTCCAGGAGGATAATTTTTATGGAAGATTTGTTGATTTTGTACTCTCAAATTTTCAGGCTCTAAGAATTGCTGCAAAGAATTGTCTGCACTCAGATATAATTTAAATTAGTATTGCTTCAAGCAAAAGCCAGTTATTGTACCTAGATACCTTTCCTGTACTCTCAGTAATAGGAAATATATTTTATCTTTCTTAGTTTTGACCTTGCACTGACTGGGAGCCACTGTGACTTGAGTGTAGCCAGTACTGTAGCTGATGTGAAAAGTATTTTACCTTAACATTTCAAGTGACAGAGAGCTTGCTTGCTTTCCTTCCTCCCCACAAGCAAGCTCAGTTGTAGTGTTGTGCCACCACTTTCCTGTTTCTTTTGGGAAAAGTAGAGAACTATCTCAAATCTGCTCAAACTGTCTGCTTTTCCTTTTTTTCCAGAAAGTTTTTTCACACCATATAAGTGAATTTGTAAAATGTAAACATTTTAGTTGAAGTAGATCAGTGTCATGGTTTAACCCCACGAGAAAACAAAGTAAAACGAAGCAAGGAGTGGTGGGCACATGCGTTTGTTGTTGGTCAGCACATGTGTATTGCCAGTATGTTGAGGAGGCGAGCCTCAGATCCGAGAGGAGACGAGGAAGGGAGAGAAGGAGGAAGCTGGAGAGTGATGTTGGGTTTGATCCCCTTGTAAACTTAACAAGCTTCTTGCAGGGACAAGGGGCAAGTAATCAGAAAACTGCATGTTCCCCTCATCTCCTGTTCCTGGAGTCAATGAACAAACTGTGAGATAAAAAAATAAAACTAAACAGCTGAGCCTTTGCCACCCACTCATATTTAATTTAATAATGAAATTATCAGCAGAACAGTCATCTGGAATCTGGAACAATGTAGCTGAAAGGCTTAACAAAACCCAAAGAGCAGCAGACACTCCTTATCCATCAGGGCTTCTGTGTGCCCTCCGTTTAATTAGTACACCTTCAAATCCACAGGAATGATTTTTAATCTTTTAAAGTTACCTTATGTTTTGACCAGTTCTAGGGAAATCAGTGGAGGTGATTAGGAAGCCAGATACTGCTCAGATATTGCAAAATACAGAGTTAGACTTTGTCCCAGTGGGGCTTTTTATCTGATTTTTGAGTTCCTTACCTACACTGGGTGGAGTATAGTTGCATTTTTTTTTTTCTGGAGTGTAAATAATCCATAAGGATACAGAAATGAATCTTTTATTTCAGCTGCCACTTCCCCATTTCTTTCTCTTTGCATCTGCTATTTACATCCAAAAGCAGCTTCTTTAAAATATTCTACAGCTCAAGATAATCTCCTCAGACAGAACCAAAAAATTTTATTTCTCCAGTGAGGGGAAGAATGCTTCATTTCTGTTCCCTGAATGGAGCTCTTTCATGCCTGTCTTAATGGATTAAGCCAGATGAGCAGAGTTTGGCCACTCATTCTTTTAGTCTTGACGCAAAATTTTAAATGATGATTGCTTGTATGATGCAATGAAATTATGTATTTGAAATGAAATTATGTGTATTTATTTTATACAAAAAATTGCTAATTTTTTTTTTAACAACTTACTTCATGTGGGTAGAAGTCTGTCAGCTTTTCATTCAGTGCAAAGCAAACAAAACAGAAGGAAGAAATGGTAATTCCCCAAATTCACACTCCAGAAACTTGTGGCATACACATTTGGAAATGACTCCTGTTCAGATTTATCCTTTGTCTGGACAGCTTAGCATTGGTATGAGACTCAGATTGGAAACTAAGAATTGCGTACTCCTGCATGTCACAGAGATTCTGAATTAAGTGCTGCTTGTCAGCAATTTCATTTGACATAGATGACTCAGCTCTTTATTTGAGGCACAGAACTGGGCATTTTGAAAGTTCAGCCTAATTTTGTCTTAGTGATGAGATTACATTATTGGAAAACATTAGTTGGGGAGTAATTTTTAAATACATCCTCGAACTTTTTCATAAATTATATTAGGATTATGTTAACAACAGCTACTTGAAATATTAAAAAATTACTTACGTACAGGAAAGTAAAATCTCCAGACACTGAATTTCAGGTGCATTTTGGGGTTAAGATGTTAATTCTAGCCACTACATAAGACAGTAATATGATGCCTGTTCATATTTACTGTTGCATGATGGCTTGAGCTATCTATTTATTTGTGCTTCCTCTGCATTTTCCTATCTTTTTGCTGTAACGACTGTGCAGAAAAGGGTATTTGGTAGCTATCCAATTACAAAACCAGCTTGCAGAGGAGTTCAGTTTTCCAGTGTACCTCAGTTCCCTGGAGTTATTTCCATCCCTTCCAAAACCAGGAATTAATGAAGTTCTCCAGGACTGCTTGATTATCTGTGATTTTCCAGCCAAAGGCATTTGGATAAATCAATAAAAGAATCTGAGAAGCATCCAAACTCCTTGAGACTCAACAAAAGTTATACAGCTGTTGTGGTTCATCATAACCAGCTTTTAGGAAGTGGGGAAACAAAGTTGAGGTGATTTTGGAATATTGGTGTGCTAGAGAAACTATAAATGAGACTTGAAATTGTTGAGGTTTTTTCAGTTAAAATAATTTTAATCTAAAATCACACTAAAATTACATATCGCTTTTCTAAAGGCCTATTTTAACTAACAATTTAAACAGTGTAGGAGTTGAAGGTTGTATTTAAAAAAATTAATGGCGATAGGAAGCTGTAGGTGTACATATGCTGCCATCTTCTGGTGCAGTTAGTGGTCTGCACTGATCATTTCTTCAACATCTGTACTAAGCATATGGTGAGCATACTCTAAGATAATTTATCGTTTGGGTTTTTTTCAACAGGAGTGTGATCAAGTTCATATAGATGATGTTTCTTCTGATGATAATGGACAAGACCTAAGGTAAGATACAGCATTTGTTTCATTGTTTTTTCTTCAAAGATTAAATAAATTGAGCATTTACAGGAATACATTGTATTTATTTTTACTGTATTTTGGGTGTTTGCAGTACCTACAGTTTTGCAACTGATGGCTTCCATGCAGCTGCAAGTAGTGCAAACCTTTGTCTGCCAACAGGTGTAAGAGGAGGGGTTGACTGGATGAGGAAGCTGGCTTTCCGTTACAGAAGAGTAAAAGAGTTGTATAATACTTACAAGAACAACATAGGAGGTGAGTTTAATTGCCAAAACCAATTTAGAATGCTGATCAGGTTAAACTGCATGGTGATGAACTCCCACCAAGGGAATGTGCCTTGGAAGCCACAGAGTGAATGGAAGGTGATGTGACTGGACCTTGGGCTATTGAAAGCTACTGACTGTAATGGCAGAGCCAACATTGCACTCTTGTGCAGGAGAACCAGAGATGGGGAAACTGAGCAGGCTTCCATTTAGCTTCTACAGAGCCCATTTTTCTCCTTCAGACCCAGCTCGGCTATACTTACCTTACTGATTGGTTGATCTACTTACTCTACCTCAAATATGCTGTTATTCTAGAAAAGAGGTTGTATAGTTTCCACAGCACAAATTGGTTGTGGCTAGCTTTTACCATCCTACATTTTCATGATCTGGATGGTAACAACACACTGTCTGCTGAACTCTCTACTGGGTACCTGCTAGTCTGTTTTCAGCAGTGGATGCAAGAAAAGTCTAGCACTGCTATGCCACTAGCACCTTTTGTTGACTCTGTAGCTTACACAGTTAATTGTGTTAGCAAGCAATCCAAGTCTCATTTGGGCCAAGAGCTTTCCTGTTGCTGTTTTCATTCACAGAGTGAGTCGCTTATGTCTGTGCTAGTAGGCTTGTAGGAAATCAAGCAGTAGAACTGGAAGAATCTGTTCTGGAGAGTTCTGTGTGACTTGCAGGGCCAGCCAGCCCTCTTCTGAGGAGGGAATATGTCAACTGACTCCCTCAAGAAGAGACTGTGAGAACAGGGAATACTTACAAGTATTCAAGCATTGCTACAGCCACAGTTGAGGATAAGATGAGGCCAACCCAACCAGGAAGGAGTCCAAGTGAACACTCTCCCATTCTGTAGCATGGGCTTTTTCAACTCATCTGAAATTTATTTCAAAGGAACCTGAAACTCAAAGTAAAGCTCACCTTCAGCAAAACCAAACAGTCTGGTGTTCTTTTAGCAGTTTCTGCAGTCTCTCAGAAATGGGAAACAGTACAACTAATATGGACAGTGAATTAATTGTTACCTTAATCATTTTCTAAATTATGTAAATCTGGAATATATATGTTCACTTTTAGTAGTTCAGAGTCTACTTGCCACAGGAAGAAGCAATAAGGACCAAAGGGTCATAGTAGATAGTTGGCTTTCACTTGTCCGGCCTTGACCTTCATTGGTGTCATGAATAGAGTTTTTATATATTAATAATACTTGAAACAGTATTACTCAAAAGTTTACTGGGTTTTCTTATGTCTTCTAATGCATCTAAGATTCTAAAGCTGTTGCATTTCATAAAACCTTTAACACTAGTAAGAGCTTAAGTCCAAAAGCACAGCATAGGTAAACACACTAAGAGGAACAATCATTGCAAAGGCAGAGTGCAGATATGTGGTGCATTGTATTAAGGTTTTTATTCTCTCCCACAAATCTTGCTTCTGAAATATATTCCATCCTTAGTGGGCAAGTTCCTTCATTCATCCTCTACTTCTTAGCTTTCTTAATAATCTTTTTATCACATATGTATCTATTTATTTCAAAATAGCTGTTAGAAGGCAACAGATGGCTAGATCAAACTAGGTATTTTTAGGTTGCTTCATTTCAGATTTTTGAAGACAGCCATCACCACTTCTTGGGAACATAGGGTGTGAAAGAGAAGAGGGATACTAAAGGTCATGAAGCCTGCTTCCCTGCTCTTCCAGGACCAAATCTAAATTTAAAATAGCTTGGTTCCAAAGAACTTGTGTCTCAGCATTCAATAGGCTGGGTATTTTTAAAAATCTGACCATTTATACCCAAAAGGGGATTTTAAGGTGCTTTTAAGGACTAACTGAGATAGGGCAACATAAGATGTGCAGCCATTTCAGGGCTGTGAATGCTGTAAAAGGAGCTATCATTACTAACTACAACAGGACATGAAGAGCAAGCCATCAGCAAACAAATGTATTTCCATATGTGTAACCTGAGGTTCCCCTATATACAGAATCATGAGCAGGGCAGTTTTAAACACGCAGATACTGCAAAGTCAAGTTTTTCTCAAGTCTCTTATTTTGTGAGTGTCTCTGCCTATGATCCTGACGGCGTGGACCTCCTTGTCACTGCCTCTGATAATTAGAGAGTAAGATATATGTGAGGGGTTGGTTTAAAAAATATGTATTTCTGAAAGGTATACTTTGAAACATGGTAAAGTAGCCTGAATAGACAAAAAACATCAGACAACTAATTATTAGTATCTGCAATACTCACTGACATTGCTTGGTATAGTGGGGTGCAAATAAAAACAGAGAGCAGTTTACTGAACCTTGAAGAAAATAGATTTTCTCTTTAATGTTTTTTCAAGTTCTAGTGGAATTTAAATAGAAACAATGACCATAAAATCTATGCATTCCAGCTAATACAGAACTTAATTTGATTTTTTTTTTCTTTTCTTGCTTTTTTTACATAAAAGGACTCCTGGGTCCTGCTAAAAGAGATGCATGGTTGCAATTAAGAGCAGAAATTGAAGCTCTGACAGACTCCTGGCTAACAAATGCACTTAAATCATTATCAATTATCAGCACAAGGTATGTATTTGAGTCTACTGTAAAAAAAGTTTCTAGTTTTTGACTTATATTGACTATTTTTTGACATTTGAGGTTACAATAAATTTGTGCCTTTAAGATTTCATTTTGAGTGATTCCAGCATTTACTAAAGATAGTATGAAGTGTCTTCTAAAATGTGATAAATGGCCCTGTGTACATTGAAAGGGTATTGTAGAATTCTGAGCCAGCCTTTAATTTATTATCTTCTGCGCAGCATCCTCTGAACTCCATGACTCTATGTTCTGTCCTTCAATGTTTGTACCTATTCACTGTGCTACCTAAATACTGTATAGATCCCAAAACACAAAAACATTTTCCTTCTGTCTTTCCAGACAAATCAGTATGCTTAAGCATGTATCTAAGTTTTCAGAAGAGCAAAAATCTGTTTTAACTAAGTTAAAAGTTTGGGTTCCCAGTAATGACACGTAAAATATATTGTTCCTTTGAAATAATAACACTGTGAACACTGCTGCTGCTTAGTCAGCTATGCAATATGTATCTTATCAGAAATCCTCAAAAATTCTGATTTTAAACCATAAAAAAGGAACAACATTAAGCCATCTTGCCTTCTGAACATGTCTGGGAAAAGACTCAGCATCAAGCAAAATGAACAGACTTGGAAAGATGTGAAAAACTTATTTTAAATGTAACAACTTTTGCAATAAGTTTATCTCTTAATTGTTGCTTATTTAACAGTGTCTTAAGCACTTCAAGAGAAAAAAAGTAAAAATTTATGTAAGCCATTGTGTTTAGCTCTGCATTTCTTTCCGAATTGCTAGTCTTCAAAAAGACATTCAGTAATGAAGTCCAGTTGAGCATTGGAGGATGAGTCTGGCAAACTATTATCAGTTACTCAGGACTGTTAAATAATAGTCTTTTGTCTTGTCTTCAAAGAGCTGTACAGCTATAAATCTTCAGAAGCTACCTGTGAGGCAGCTAAACATCACCTATGTTACTGACAGGAAATTGAGATACATTAAGGCAGAAATAGTAGTCTAAGGTCTTGCTTGGAGTTTGTGAAAGAACTAGGAGGAAAAATCACAACTATTTGCTCTCAGCTCCGTGTTCACATGGTCATGCTCATGTTCCAGCCTAAAGTAGCCTGGCTCTGAGTTTTCTTTTGTGTAACTGCTAGCACAGCTTCTCCATTCAAGTTTTCATCCTCACCATTCGATGTTAGCTCATTAACATGATTATTCTTATCTCTCCCTCTTCTCAGAAACATTCTTACCCTTGAAACATGAAGAAAGTGATGTCATTGTGCAGAAATGTGTATTGGCTGTTTATTTCCCCTCAAGACAGGAGTAACAAATGATGTCTTTGCTTTCTCCTAACACTTTTATTTGGCTGCTAGCTACTGGCAAGTAATTGCCAGCAAGAAAATAATGCTTTCCAAGCATTAGAAAGCCTATTTTTGGACGTAGTTGGTGACCTTAAATGTCTGTATTTTAGTGAACCATCTTCAAGGACCTGTTTTTTATAAACCAGTGTGGAATATTTCTTGTAAAGCAGGCCTGCATATTTTTTTAAATGATTTTGCTGAACGTTTTATGTACATTTTTCTGGAAGTGATGGTGCTGAGCTGCACTGCTGTGTGAGTGAAAGTAAATGTTGAGGAATCCTGAGTATGCTCTCCACAGCTGGTTCACCACATCAGCATTTGGATAATGGTTTTAAACTATTCAAACTTAAACTATTTCTCTCATTTTAGGAGTAACTGTGTAAACGTGTTGGTAACAACAACCCAGCTTATCCCAGCACTTGCAAAAGTTCTGCTATACAGCTTAGGAGGAGCTTTTCCTATTGAAAATATTTACAGTGCAACCAAAATAGGTAAGAAAATTATTCTTTCATCCATTCTGACTACACTGCATTACCAATATTTTTTTGCCAGTAATGGATGGATTCTACTCCACTTCCCTGACACTTACTCTGTTAGTTATAAGATTTAGGCATTGCATATGTTTAGATGTGTTTATGTTAATAAATTCCAAATTCAGCTTATTTTCAATGATGCCCAAAGGAATAAAGGTCTCCATACTAATTAAAAGCATCAGAAACTCCCGAGTATGGTGCAGAAAACATAAAACGTGCAGAAAAGAATGAAGAAAAGTGGTTTTTGAATTCAAATCTAAGCAGAACTTCTGTTAAAATAGTCTCTGCTCTGACCTCCAGCTCTACGTAAGTTAGGCCACTGCTTCACAAGCTTTTTCTGAAAGCATAGTACCTCTAGTAATGGTAATGACAACCATTACCAACAGAAGCTGTGTTGATGAATGGGGCACTTCCCTATTCTGTCGATAACCATGTACCTCTTGTGTATTATAGTTTGGAAATACATGGATTTTGGAAATCACATCCAAAATTTTCTTGTAAACCAAGGCAAGTTATCATTCCTGTGAAATGTGACACAGCCTACTATGATAATTTCAGCAGATTTCATGGTTTAGCAGTTATTAATTCAGGACTGCTTAATTTCTATACCTATGACACCTTACATAACATGAAGTGTGACACTTCATTGACAAAAGCATTACATTTCCTAAATGATTTTCACAAGTGAAAAAAACAATACATATTCGAACAGTGTCAGAGAAAACTATGACCTCAGTCATCCTTTAGTTAGCTGTAGCTGTCCTTTAACAGAAATGCCTCAAATACTTGAAAAACTTAAGCCCAGGCACAAAGTATCCCAAATACCACATGGTATTGAGCAGCCTGTGGAATGAATGTCATCTGTCATACAGCCTGTACACATTGGATTCAGTCACTGAGATTGCACTCAGACCAAAGGAAGGAGCATTAAGAAATAGTGCCGACAGCACAGAAGGGGGTGGTGAAGTGAAGCACAGTCTCTGGAGGCTCTGTTGAAGTAATTCTGCACAAGGAATTCCTTCTGAGAACAGTGTGGCCGCTGTTACACCCCTGTCAGGAGCACAGCAAACTCTGTTGGGTACAAGATCTCTCTCTACTTTTCATCTCAATGATCTCTGCACTGTGCTGAGCACAGGACTATAATTGCGGCTGTTCCTTGCACACGCTGGAATCTGGTCCTCACTCAACAGTTAACACACATGATGCTTTTCCTAATCATAAGCCCTTTTTTGTGGGCCAGCTGGAAAAAAAAAAAAGCAAGAGGAGGGCAGTAAGAACTGGAAATCTAGAAATCATGAGCTTGTGAGAAGAGACTGAAAAACCTAGGGTGGGGGATAGCCATAATACCAAACAAGGTAAAAAGCTATTGCAGAGAGGAAGGAAATAATCTTTCTCTGCGTTGATGGGAGGTATGACAATAGGTGATGATTTGTTTGCAATAGGGCACATGTAGGTTGTGTGTCAAAGAGAAACTTCCTCATGGAAAGGGTTAATTAAATATGGAGATTGCCTCTGGAAACAGTGAAATCGTCATATTAGGACAGTTTAGGATGGGTAGCACAGGCATTCGTTGGTAAAACTGAACCCGCAGTACAATGAGAAGATCAGTAGATGATTTTGCTTGGTCCCTTTCAGTCCTGTTTATTGTTGTTACTGGCTTAGCCTGCTTGCTTCCACATTTCTCCAAAAGAGCCAAATGCTTCATAGATGTTCTCCCAGGAATCTTTTGTCTGATTTTATTTTACTTGTCCATTGTTCTTTGAACAATTTTTCCATTGCTACATCACTCATTGTTGCAGCTACACTAGAATTAAAATTGCTGCTTTCCTTGAAAAAAAAAAGTATTAGTTATAGAGAAATGTTTAAATTCAATTATTAATTCCCTGACCTATTCATTTTCACAGCACTAATTCCTTTATCTTACTGGCTTTCCTGTAATTCTTAAGAAAGAGATTTAATTTTACCTGGAGCAGCTTAATGTCACTAAGAATTAATTGCTTCTCACCAGTGTGAGCTCAAAATCCCAAGGCTAGGAACTTTACAAAAGTAGTAATAACAATGTCTCACCACTGTAATTATCCTTTGTAGGGCTTCACCATAACTCACTTGATAGCTTGAATAAGTAGTGCATTGTTTTTCAGGCAAAGAGAGCTGTTTTGAGCGTATAGTGTCCAGATTTGGCACTAACATAACTTATGTTGTGATTGGAGATGGCCGAGATGAGGAACATGCAGCTAATCAGGTAACTTCACTCTGAACTCTTATCTCATTTATCTTCCAGGAAAAGAAAGTTGCTTTGAACGAATAATGCAAAGGTTTGGCAGAAAAGTAGTATATGTTGTAATTGGGGATGGTGTAGAAGAAGAACAGGCAGCAAAAAAGGTAACCTGTCTCCTGAAATGTTGGTGTGATACCTAGCTACTAATGCAAGCCTTTCTGTTTGCACTTCTGTCAGTGTTGCACAATGGCAGAATGACAAATAATTCCAGTCCACACATGCAAGGCAACAAGAGCATGATGAGATCAAAACTTAGAGTAAAATGAACCATTTGGATTCTGGCATTTGCTTCACTTCAGTTTGGAAAGAAAAAAAAATGCAAAATTATTTTAAAAACAAATGGAAAATTACTGCAGCAAAAATGTCTGACTAGTGTCAGGCAAATTAAAGGTAAACAGAAGAGATAGAAAGGGCTATGACATGATGGTTAGGTTGTGGTTTTCTTTAAATGGTGAAATCGGGGAGGTTTCAAGAGAAGTGTTACAGAGAATGTGGAAAAACATCTAAAGGGCTGTGCAAATTTGTTGCTAACATAGATAAAGATTTTTAGTTTACTGGAGCAAATATGATGAACACATAATTTGCTTCAAAAAAAGACATATCTGCAAAAGGAAAAAGAACACAACACAGAGATTGTGCACCAAATCTGTGTTTCTAAAAAAAGAACTGTTTCTTCAGAAATATTCAATTTTCTCATTATAATAATTCAAGTCCAAATTTCACCAGATAAGTTTTCAATATTCAGAAACAGATCAAATTAGTAATTTACACCATACTTCCCAGTATCACCTTGGAAGTGTGCAGAAACTGAAAATTTTTGCCTCACGATGTCTGCCCAGGACAAGTGATGTAAACGTTGTTGTGCTAGGAGTAGCAAAATAAAGTGCCCTGGAATGGAAACAAAATGAAAATAACCAAAATGCTCATTCCAAATGGTTCCTTAATATAGGTACAGTATTGGTGATGGGTTTTTTATAGTTTGTGCTAAACAAAGGTGGTTGGATTGTGTACTTTGCAGTTTGGCATGCTTTTTACTTAACGTTGGCTATATTGCATGGATAGATACAGAATTCAGAGAGATGGATGAATATAGCACATTACAAATAGATCTGAACGCAACATGAAAGTATGGGGTTTTTTTTCTATTCTGATGAATTGCTGAAGAAGAATAGTACATATATCTGCATCTCTGACAGACACTGATGCTTTCTGCAACACAAATTATCTTTTTTTTTAAACTAGAAATGGGTTATTTTCTTATCGAAAGAAATTTCTTTTTTCCCCCTAGATGGAGAAAAATGTAATTCAACTCTGTTTCCAAGTGTTCTGTGTGAAGCCTCTTTTAATGAAAATCTTATAGCCCTTTAAATGATCATTTGGTATTTTGCAAAGTCTGAGAAGTGGAGCAGAAAGGGATTTTCTATTAATGCTCCTTTGTATGGGTTTGCATGCTAACAGTAAGCAAATAGCCCTTACTAAATAATAGGCTTTTTCCGAAGAAAATATTAAGAAGGACTATCTAATTATTTTAACTTCAGTTGAACTATTAAGCTCAGATCTATTTTGGTGTGATTTTTGTAAGTACTTTACTAGCAAAAATCAATCCAGAAACACAGTGGTGTAAAATATGTGGTGGTAATCTGACTAGTCTCGTGTGTCGTATACTGCCTGTGTCACAGTGTTCATCTTTCCTGACCTTTTCCCCCCTCTAACAAACACAGCACAACATGCCTTTCTGGAGGATATCCAGTCATTCGGACCTCTTGGCTCTCCATCAAGCACTGGAACTAGAGTATTTGTAACTGTGTTCTGAAGTTGGCGATCCTTTTTTTTTTTATATATATATATTTCAAGTACACTGAATTTTTATGTGTGATTCAATGCCTCTGGCTTTACACATATGAATTGTCTTAAGAAGGGAAGAAATATTTGGAATTAAAAATTCCAAATTGAAGAATTCAGATTGCTGAATGAAGTTGAAACATTAGTGCTACGTAAGGAAGCTCTATGGTCTTATATATGCAACGTTTTTAAATGAATTAAAACTGTGGAGGTTGCTGGTACACACCAAGTGAGCCCTGACAGGAGTGAACAAAGGACTCGAACTGGCAAAGCACCAACACGCGTTTTCCAGCCGACAAGGTGGTGTTCAACAACATTCCTCAAAGTGGGATATATTCTCAGCACTGAGGTTTGAACCAGACTTTAGCCTACCTAACCCAGAAAATCTGAATTGGAATGCACTCAGACTGTATAATGACAATCCTGTCTAGACCTGTAATTTGTGTAAATTATTGATGAAAATAATTTACTGTGACTTTATTAGCAGCTGATTTTGGAAGTGGATGCAATTTTTCTTTCTTTTTTGGGGGGCAGGGGAGGGAGAGGGTTATATAATATTGTCTCTTTTATAAGTTTGGCAAACAGAATGTGCATAATGATATGTTGTGCCTTAAAGAGAAGACTGTGTTCGTGTGTTATAATGTAATTTTGGTTAAAAACTATGTAGATAAACAAAAAAACCTTTGTGATAATTTTTGACATGACCAAATTTGAAATTCAAAGAAATCAAAGAGCAGGGCTGCACCAAAGCATTTAAGTATTTGTTGCAGTAAGAAAAAATAATAAAGGAAAGTTTGTGTTTTTATTTGGATTCTGAATAATTCCACTGATTGTTTGAGGAAAGTTAAGAGTATGTTGGGAGGTTGATACTGGGGACCGCTACCTAGAAAGCTAAAAAAAAAGTGTTTAATACCTTCAGCATAATTTCTTGATTCTCTGACAAGAGAACTAAGACCCATATTCATGAATTACTTAGTCTACTGAAAGCCATACAGTGAGTGCATCTGCTGTGCATAAAAGAACAAAATTTCACCCCGTAGACCAAGTGTGCAGGTGACATTACTGGAAGGTGAAAATGCGGAGTTAAGTCCAGATGAGGAATAAAACAGAAGTTCGTTAGGAATGAAAAATTACTAAGGAATCTCTCACCAGTCAGATGCACAAATGATGCTACATTTAGCATATTCAGGATCAACACAAGCTGCTGGAATTGCTGGCATGGTAACATTGGCCATTTCAGGAGCACAGTCCACTTTGGTAAATATAACAGCATTTTGGTAGCTTTCCCATTCTGTTCCACATTTATGTACCTTCTGTTTTGAGTCAACATGATTTTCCTCATCCATTTTGGATTGCATAACAATATTACACAGGAACAACCCTAAATATTTTTGAATCAGAAGTTTCAATAGCATGTCACGCATCTGGGGAGAGGATAAGGAGGGGATTTTTTATGAAGAAATATTGAGAGATATATTACCCTAATTTTCATCATTTCTATTAAAAATTACAGCCCATACAGTGATAATTACCTTGCAAGTTTTGAACATGCTACCTTTCAGCTTTGGAAAATGAGCAAGGTCCATATTGCACACAGGGTCCCTAGTGCTCCATATGCAGCTTGAGCACTCTGAAACAACAGCAAGTGGTTCGTCTCTCATGGCAGAAGACGGAAACTGCTTTTTTAATTTTTAACTCTGTACGCGGAGACACCTGAGGTTGCCTGTGCTCTGACTGCGTGAAGAGGTGTGTGCAAGAGAAGATGTCAAATATAAACTCCAGGATGCCTACACAAGCACACTAGTTAGCACTGAGGTGAAGACCTTCCCTCTCTGTGCTCTGAAGCCACCATATGTCTAGTTACCAGGTAGTAACTTTGTTGATTTAAACTTTGTAGGTTATATGAAAGTTAGTTGGTAGGTGAAAGCCTGGAGCCACTAAAAGTCCAAGGCAAAACTCCTCTATAAATTCATAAAAATGGGATTTCTTTGCTGTGTTGGAATTTGATATACAAGTCACCACACAACAAACTAATGATAATTTGTTATCACCGGGCAGTTTAAAGCCATCACATGAAACTTGCCACGTATGAAATCTTTATACAGTAGCTATTTGGGTGATAGATTTGTGTGTCCAAAAATTAAAATTGATGTGTATCTTCTTTATATTTATAGTACCTGTCTAGTCAAATTTGGCCTAGAAGTACATTTTTCATAAAAAGCTGTAGTACCAGCTTTATGTAGTTTTTCAGGTGGGGAAAAAAGTGTTTCTACTGGAATAGGAAAAAAGTTCAAAGCAAGCCCTTCTCAAGTTTCTGCATCATAACATTGCATGAGAATCTCAACGTAAAAGTCTTTATTAAAAAAAAATTGGTAAGGTGAACTAGCTTCTTCTTCTTTTTCTTTTTTTTTTTTTTTGGACAAGTCATAGTGTTATTTAAATGCATGAAGCAATATTATTTCTCAAGTTATTTGTTCAGCTTTTCAGTGTTCTTTTCCTAATCAGATGTAAGAACAAAAAACAGCCCAGCAACAACCGTCGGTTCTTATAAAAGGTTTGCAATGCCTTCATTGGAGTTGCACTTAGCTCTCTGTGACAGGTATGGCTCAATTAATATACTGGATTCTAGAGAGGAGATGGAGGCAAAAGGAGGGAAGATTTACAGAGCATGACAAAGTTCTCATTTTAACTTGGATTCTGTGTGCTACCATAGCAGAAGTTAATTATAAAAATAAATTATCTACAAAAATGCACATCCAAGGAAAATTCAAGGATTTAGCTCAAAAGCCTTTACAATACTAAAATTCTAAAACAAAGTTTCAGAGCACAAGTACTCTCTTGCTGAGCAAAAATTGTTATATATCTTTAAATAAAAGTGTGTCATACATGCCTGCCTTGAAGAGAGAAATTACTCTGATACATTTTCCCACATGAACAATACAGAGGAGAAAATAACCAAGGCAGACACATAGTCACGCCAGACGGTTCCAGATGGGCCTAAGTAGATTAAACTGAAGGCTGGTCGTTTTGACGTTGAGTGCATTTTAATTCAACAGCATATTAATCAGAGACTGCCTTCCCTTCAGCCTCTCCTCAACAACCAAGATTGAGCACAATGTCATGTTTGCAAGTATTTGGGGCAAATGAAGTATAGAATATAATGCCTTTTGCTGATACTCCGGGAGTTCTCAGTCAGTACAGAACTTGAACGTTCATTAGTCGTTTGAGTAGTCAGCTTGCAGAATACAAACACTGTGATTGCAGTCACAAGATAGTATCTTAAATAGATATAACTCTGTGCAGTTCAGTATATCAGTAAAAGAGGACAGGAAAAACTAAAAATGATGCTTATTTTTAGATGCCTGTGGAGATTGTGCACAAAGGTATAGGTGGCAGCTAGCTCCCAGATCTGTTTTCATTAGAATCCAGTGTAAGCAGCAGCGTTTGCATCTAAAGCAGATGTGGAGTATGTTCCAGTGTAAGCACTGACAAGGGAGATGAGGCCAAATCAAAATCCTGTATACAAGCACACTTCATCTCGCGGGAGATGAAATCTTGCAGCCAATCAGAATTGCAGAGTTTATGGAGGACATGGACTTGGCCTGTGACAGGAAGACTAGATTTTAGCTGTGAGGTTGTATCCAGATCCAGGGTTTCGGTTCAAAAGTCATCTCTGCTTTACAGGATTGACACCAGGCATATGCTCTAAATGAATATGGTATTTAGTGTCTCTGAAGAGGAGCTGAAGTGACATGAGCCAAAATCCCAGCAATAGCAGCATTTTGGAGATATAATTGAAGCCAAGGGTCTCTGTCATCTATTAGCAGGTTATAGTTTATTAGGGCCTACATAATTTAAGAAAATGTAAATTAAAATTAAAAGCTTGTAAAATTATGTACATCTTTACTACTTCTCAATAAATACACTTGGAAATGTCATTTTCTGCACTATACGATGTTGTAAGGTGTTTGGTCTGTGGTTGAAACCCTCCATACACAATGTCTCTCACAGGAACTGAGTGTGACCTTGGACTCTTTTCAAGTATGTCCACGCTGCCTTTGTGGTTCATGCCTGGAGCAACCCTGTGCCCATGTGGTCTGATGGAGACTGGCTCACCTGCATGCTCTTTGCAGGGTGCAGCCTCTGGAGGAAACCTCCCTCTGCTCTGCATCAAGGTTTCCTCACTGAGAACACTAGGTGCCTTGCTCCAGATGCAGCCTGAGCAATAGCTAACACCTTTGTTGCAGTGTCCTTGGGGCAAAATACAGAACAAATCAATTTGATGGTCTAGACGCATAGTGTATTCATGTAAATTTCCTTACCAATTCACTTACTAATATTATGCTAATATCTTTTTTATGGACATGGGTTGTTCAGGAGACAGACTAGGCTACTGAAGGGCAAGCAGCGGTTCCAGCTGAAGCTCAGCCTCATGAAACTTTGCAAATGTCTTTGGGAGCAGTGCTTCATGTCTCAGTGAGGTGCTGACCTTGGTTTGGAGGAAGCAGTCCCCCCACAGTCTGCTTGCGCAGGCTTTAAGGCAAAAGTGAGACCGCAGGACTATCAACACATTTAGATGTGACATTATGATCTCGGGAATGACATAGCAAGTGGCAGAGCCTTGGTAACCGCAGTGCTTCAACCATAAAAGACAGCTTCTAAATAGTGGAATTTTTTTCCCCACGAGTTAGATTAAAGCATGTCTCTTGCAAATGTAACTGTTCTGTATGTACACCTGCCTTCTACTCCGATTTTAGGAATGAAAAGGAAGATACATCAAAAATAGGGTGGACAAAGTATAAAGAAGGCCCATCTACTGAGCAGATGGACCCATAGTAAACAGCAGTTTTTAACATTGTGTCTCCCAGAGGGGTTTGCGTGTGACTCTAGAGAAGACGAACCATTCCGTACCATTTCAGGAAAGTGAGATAAAAGGTAGCCAGAAAAATGGTTCCTCCCC